GCACTGCACGAGCCTCAAAGAAGTTCGTCTCCCGAAGACACTCCGCACGATTCGAGTCAAGGCCTTCATGAACTGTGCGGCCCTGCCAGAACTTGCTATACCACCCTCACTTAAATACATAGCGAGTAGAGCTTTCTTGGACTGCACTGCTTTCAAGAGGCTAGTCAAGTTGCCAGGCCGACATAAATGGCGCGGGGTTTATGCTGAAGAAAATGCTTTCGCCATATGCCCAGACATGAGATGGCCGCCATGGCTACACATGATTCCGGACACAGGGTATGTCTCTGGTTTAGCCTGAAGTGACCCTGTCTAAATGTAACAGCCTGTGGTCTCCCCACAATCCATCCATGCTGGGTGCGAGCCTTAGCTCGGGTCCGGCCAGGTCAACTTGCGCCCTTGTGCACAGTAAACCATACGTGCATGCAGTTTCTAAGCCAAGGGAGTAGATGGCCACTAACGCTCTGCACTAGGGCTTGTTGAAACTACACATGCCTACCCTGCAACTCTAATGGCTCAAGCGAGTAACTTGCAAGAGTGAGCATGCCTGCTGATACGCCTAGGCCCAGCCCTCGCTGCTGTGAAGAAAGGATGGTGGCACAGACCTGTACCTTCCTCACGCTGGCAGGAGAGAAGCTGCCCATTGAGGTAGATCTGAATGCACATACCGGCATTCAGGGTTTTGAAAATGCCGTATTAGCAGAGCTCCCCTACTTAGGATGCAGTAGCACCCTGGGGTGCGAGTTGCAATTTGTGCAAACAGACACCCACCAAGTCCTAGCAGACCCCATACAGAGCAAACTAAGAGCCAACCACTGCTACTATGTGATTGCTCGGCCATGTTTTGTAGAGGCAGCACACAAAGGGCAACTCAAAGGGGAAGCCAAGGCAATCAGAGTGCCGCGTGGTAGGAATGATAAAATCCCACCGCAAGCCTTCTCCTTTCACACGGAAGTCCGTCATGTCCTGGTTGAACCCGGTATGCGGATTGTAGGAGAAGCGGCGTGGAGAAGTTGTCGACAGCTGCAAGTGGTCCACCTGCCAGACACGATCGTCAGCCTGCTGCATGGTGCCTTCAGCCGCTGCCGAGCCTTACGAGTAGTGATTGCCCCTGGCTGCCAACATTTCGGTGCTAAGGTCTTCGAGGAGTGTTGCTCCCTAACACAAATAGGAGTGACGCAGTGCCCTAACAATATTCTCGCCCCCCAAGCACAATTGCGGCCCCGTGTGTTTCAAGGACGCACGGCCCTACAGCGCCTCGATTTAGGTAAGGAATGGCGAGGCCCGACATATCCGAACCGAAGTCTGCCTGACTGCTGCTTCCTGGAAGCAGGCATCGTCGCACTCTATCTATCGTCAGATTTTCACAGGATAGGAGTGGCCGCCTGTACGAGCTGCCAGCAACTGCAAACTGTTGATTTGTCCCAAACGGACGTCGTTGAAATTTTGGGCTCAACCTTTGCGCATTGCTCGCAGCTGCAGCAACTCAGCCTTTCCCCAAACCTACGAATCATTGAGCAAGAAGCCTTTCTTAAGTGTACCTCGCTGCAAGAAGTCTGCATCCCACCATCTCTGCTTTACATTGCGCGGCGTGCTTTTGCAGGTTGCACGCAACTTCGAGCAGTTCGTAAAAAAGGGCAAAGCAAGACATGGCGAGGTACATATGCCCGGCTCAATGCCTTTGACAAATGCGAGCAATTGGACAAGCCCCAGTGGCTCCGATTCCTGCCGCCAAATGCAAATGACCAATGGAGAGACGACTTCCATAACGCCACATGTTAGACTGGCAACGCTCGGATGACAGTGGAGATGGACTGCTATCCTGCTTCGATGTGGTGAGCCAGGCTCAAGAACGCTCAGGCGAAGCCATCATTTCGGTCTCAGTCACAACATTACAGTGAGCCTGCAGGAATGAGAGCCTTAGCTTTCGCTCCTAAGAGGCGGGTGGTAGAGAATGGTAATGGAAGGTTGCCAGGGGGAACCTTAGTTCTCCTTGCAGCGGCCAAGCCATGACCATTGCTGTACAAAGGGGCACAAGTACCATGCTAGGATAGGTCCACGTTTCACTGGTTTCACCCGGGCCTTGCACGCAACAGGAGACTTTCGCATCTTAGTACCTCTCTCTCCTTCTGGAACAGAGAGTACTGCATTGGCACTCCTTGACTGCTAAGGGGTGCAATGGTGACCTCCCTTCGGGGGGGATGGCATCACATTCGTCAGCGAACCCCTTTCGTTGTCTCTGCCTCCACTGTCTGACAATCGACATGCCTCTCGTCTCTGTCGTGCAATCAATTGAAAGGGTTGTGCCACGAGATGGGCCTTTTCCACGGCTTGTTAGGCAGAGCAACAACTGATTCCCCTGGGCAAGGATCAGACTGGCTGACAACAAACAATGCAGCTCTTGCAAAGCACCCGATCATCACTTTCGCCGCTCGAAGCAGTGGCCCTCTTGGTCACAGTTTTGTGGGTGGGGCGAGGCCCCTTTGATAGGCTCCGCTGCACTCCCTCTTGTGCTGACCATGCCGACCGACTTTCGTAGTGAATTCAGGCCCATAGTTAGTTAGCAGTCAGCTTTTGCCTTTTTGCATTTGTCTCACCCTCGTACAGAGGAAACACGTTTAGATGAGGGGGGAATCGGCCTCTGGCCTTGGTGGTTTCTTGGTTTTTGGTGCTTGTTTTGGTTTGGTGGGTTTTGCTTGGTTTTGGGGTTGCTTGTGTTCTTTTCCCCTCATCATGTTGTGTTTCCTTCCCTTTCAATGATGACCTGGGCACTCCGCCCACACGGCGTCCGCACTCGTGGAAAAAAGCAACCTGGCTGGTAACTCTCTATTCACTCGACTAAGGTGACTTGTGCACAACCTGCACACACAGCGCCTCCATTCGTGCAAAAAAAAGTCTCACTTCTGATGTGCAGAGATGAAACTGAATGTTGAAGTGAATGCAAGTGAAGGACAGATGCCATCGAAACACCCTCCACCAGTGTTTAACTCCATTCCGGTGGACCCTCCGAGATGGGATCCATGGATCATGATTGCTGAGAAGGTACCACCACAGACAGAGAATCCTCCAAATGCAGTTGGCAATTTTGGAGGAAAATCATGACGCAGGAGTCCGAAGGCGAGCTCATGTGTCCGGGGATGACCGATTTGTCGCCCGACAGTACAAGTGATCCAGGTGCAGAGATTGAAGAGGAAGATGAACCTGAAGGTGAGAGCATAGAGACGCAATACTGCACAGGAGCAGAAGCAATGGGCAGTCAGACGACACAACATGTTGATGAGCAAGATGGGTATTTTACTTCGAGTACTTTGCCAGGAAGGAGCTTACATACAGATGTAGCACAAACAACACAGTCTGACGGACATGAACCGGAGAGTGATCATGAAAGTGAAGACGGTGAGACAGCATCCCAAATGAGGCACAAATATTTACAATCCGGTTTGGATGAGGTAAGCGATCCCGAGTACCAAGAGCTACATCATTTTGATAGCGAACCAGAGTCGGATGATAGCAACAATGCAGACATTGATTTCAACTTGAATGTGGAATGCATGTCTTTTGTTGGAGTGTTCTATGAAACCATCTGAACCATAGACACTCAGTGGTGGTGTGTGCCGTGAAACCAGCTGAACCACGGTACAATACGACATTGTTTGGGTTAACGATGGATTTGTTTTTTGCAAGGCAGGTTTACAATTTTGAGAGCAGTTGTGGATACGTGAAACCGTCTGAACCATGTATCCAAATGACAGAATTTTTGAAGAGTTTCATGGGAATGACATGTCGATGTCGGAACGGGATGTATCATGTATCATAGATACATTAGAGTTTCAATGCGGAAGACCTTGTCAGTGCTACCTTGAAGTGGTAGATTCCGCAGCAAACATTGTAGAGAAAAGATGATGGGAACTAAGACGTTTCGCATCAAGGCTGGGTATTAACCTTTTTCATCTAGATGGACACCTAGAAATGTACAGTCATGTTGATGCACTGTTTGCTAGTTGAAAACTACTCCGCTACCGAAGCGCGTCCCTCAAAACGAGCGTGCTACCAAACATAGAGAAACAAAGTGAACGAGCGTGAGGATAAAAACGTGCACGAATCCACTCAAGCACTGATCCTCAGCTTTTCCATGAAGCGCGCACGTACCGCAAAAGGCTTCCGGCCACGCTTGGGCCGACACCCTTCCAAGTTCAATCACACATACATCCTGAGATCAACATCGGCAAATTCACACCCCCCAAGCTAACGCTTAAACTATTTATCTAGCAGTTTCCGGTTTCTTCCGGCTTGTGGGTTGCCCCGAAGCCTATACAACGCCTCAGGACAGTCGTGCGGGCGGATCATTTAAATCTTTTTGTCCGATGGGGTGTTCTGTGCACAACTCCGTATTCATGTGCTTCTTCCTGGACGTTTTTTCTTCACAATTACTTGGATGCCCAAAGGTCCCTGTAAGCGATTCACGCGAAAACCGTGCCAAATAGATCGTTGCAGCGTTGCAAAAACAAGAACGGGTGGTTGAGCCGTGTGATCTTGCGCATGGTCGCAACGGGGGGCCACATTGCACTCGTGCAAAAGATTCCTGATCAAAAGGGATCGTCATGGATGACTGCGCTTTGCGAACCAAGCAAGAATCACTACAAATTCAACGGACCCACCCCTGCAGTTAAGGGGATGAGCTAGGGTGTGGACCGTTCAAACACAACACACTCAACGGAAAATGAGTCTGAACGTGGGTGAGACGAATCACACCTCGCAGCCGAACGAAGCGAAACCGCAATAATCCACTCCGCACACATTGCTAGCGGACAAGCGGAGCGGACAAACGGACAGTCAAGGGACATCTAAACTATTTGGCTGGAGAAAGAAGACGCATTTGTTCCTGGTCATGTGGGTTTTTACCCTCCTCAAATTGACATATTTTTGACGTTTATGAAGATCTTCTGCGTGGATTGGCCATTCATCTTCAATCCGATCTCGGTGTGCCATTCGGCTCAATCAGATGGATGATCATTGTTATTCATCCTGTCAGCGGTTGAAGGTCTTTGCCAATGGGGGTTCTCGCTTTATATCGAATCCTTTGTTTGGCCGCTTTGAGCAGCGGACAGGACCAGCAAAAGTGCTTGCCTGGTGGTGTGCCCGTTGCAAACCGTGGCTGAGCAGCAAAGATTTGAAACCGGTGGCTGATGTTTGCTGGTAAAGGAAGAAAGGTGGTTTTCGTATAATATCAAGATGGTTGGACACTCAGAACTGAATGGATTTTCATCTTACCTTTCAGCTCTCGGATTCTCCGACTTGATTTCTCCAAACTTTTCAGATCCCAGGATGATTCAGCGATACCCCACAATTTATTGTCTAGAATTTTTGGAACAAGTGTAATTTTCTGACTGAACAGTGTTTATACCTCAAGTGTATGGCTGAGAGTACTAAAGCTGGACTCAAAAAGGGTTTCTAAAAGCCACTGTCTCGCTGGCCTTCTTTCTGAGATCTGTACCGTTTCCATTTCTTTGGTAGATGCTCCTGTGGCTGTCTAGGATCACTCTTCCCGAAAGCATTTCATCTCAATCAAGCACATAGTGGACACGCACCGTGTGGAAACTGCACGGAGGTGCAGTGTGGAAATAGTTGGACATGATTCACTCTTGTAGAAAGGGATGTGATGGATGGATGTTTTACTTTTCCCAAGACCAAACAGGTGGAATTCCGCTTCCATTTGTTCGTTGCTTCGGGTCCTCAGTGGAGACCCCTTGTAGGGTGGTATTCCGGTGAAGGTGAAGGTGCATCGTTTTCTCGGTGCCCAGGTAAATACATCCAGAATGATGAGGGATCGGACTCATGGCGCGGCCACAAGGGGGTCCACAGGTTCTGGGCGCAACCGGGCGCGGCCAAGGGCGCGTCCCCGTGGCGCGTCCCCCAGGCTTGGGGACACGATGACCTCGACAGCTGACCAACCAAACCATTCGGGTTTTTGTTCAGGATGGGGGAAACCCGGTTCTGAAGTGCTCCTCGCCCTGGAACGTTGTGCCGATGACCACTTGGTCAGTATGATTCAGAACTCTTCCCGAATGGAAAGTTCCATAGTTCTGAGAAGTGACCGCGAAGGGGACACTCAGCAGGTAGAATTTGAGTGACAAGGGTCAGGAGACGGGTCATGGCCTTTGGCTATTGGCTTTCGAACAGAGGGGGATACTCCTGGTCGTGAACAACCAATGTGTGTACAACCTGGCATCGACCCCTCCGTTTGTTGCTGTTGGGTCGGACATCGCCGTTTTTGGTGAATTTTAGTGGTCAATTTGATCTCTCATGAAATGAGCTATCAGACAGTCTGAGAGATGAGAAGCGAGGCGAGCCAAAAACAACATGATGTTTTCGAACTCAACGCGTTGGTTTCAACGCAACGCCATGTTGGACAGCGATGAAGCGAGGACATCTCCATCGGTCTCTTAGAGGGTGCATGGCCCTCTGCGGAGTTGTTAAGCGAGCTGCTGCGGATCTTGATTGGAGAAGCCTTGGGAGCCTCGGCGAGGGACAGGGGAGGGAAGTGGCTTCAGTTGATTGGATCTGCAGAAGTGAAACCGCTGGATCTTTTATTTATCAGGCTTTTGGCACTGAAACGTTCTGTTTGCAGTTGGGGAATTGCACATGATCGACATACTTCTAAGTGTTGTAGAGATCTGTATAACTGGTGCCGAGACTTTGGGGCGACTCCGAGAAAGGAGACAAATAACAATCGAGCCAAGCTGGTTGGAGCTCGTATTGAGGTACCCAAGGGTACTTGAGGCTTGACCCACCTTGTCCTGTTGAGACTTTTTGGATTCGACGTGTTTGATTGCGGCCGACGAGTCGCCGAGCGCCCTCGACATGTGGCGAGGGTACTCAGCTTATTCCCAAGCGCGTGAGGTGTTGGGTTCGTGTTGGCGCGTGAGTGGTTTTCCTCAGCTCTGCACTACCTGATACAACAATGTGTCCATGGTTTTTAAGTCTTAAGCCTTTCCTTCAAAAGCAGGGCTGCGGGTCGGGTGCGTCTGGTGCGGCCACCAGTCTGAAAAAGACGCCAACGAGTGGAAAGAGGTGAGCAACAGGCCCCGGATCCCGAATCGAACGGAGGTTCCGAATCGAAGCGTTCCGAACGTTCCGACGTTCAAGCAACCGAGGATATCACGTGCACATCCACGAAAAGTCTCTGGGCAGAGTATCGGAATCGATGAGTTTCCTGGGACTCATGGAAAACTCCGACCGAATCACTTTGGGACACGGAGATTGCGTGACTCGGAACGTTTTCGTTTCCGCACTGCAAGACCACCAGGTGGTCACCTGCCAGCATGCAATGTCACTACCGTCAATCTCAGAGAGAGGATCAAATCAGGTTGGGTGCCAATGGCGCATCTCCAATCTTCGCCCTAGCTGGCTGTATCAACTTTGATGCTCCTGCCAACGCCCCTCTCTTCGAAGAGAAGAGGCGCCAGTTTTTTTGCCGAACTGGGGGCCAGTCCTGGGGTGGAGCAAGGAGTTGGTAAGCACGAGGGCCAGTCTTGCGACAGGGACAGGTCGCTGTCACCGTGGCAGCTGGGCTTTTCACCCTTCAATTCAGCCAACGGCCACTGGTCTCACCCAGACAAAGGTGGCTTTGGCAAGAAACACTTATAGATACCGTCGAACATTTATCATTTGATTTTGCTCAGCTTTGAGTTACTTGTGCCACACCCTGAAATTGCATTTGTTCCCAAGTGGCCTCCAGCAAGTTGTCATCTCAGCTGAGAAGATTATCAGAGTGGAACACCTCGAGTCACAACTCCCCGTTTCTTTTGCCCATGATTCCCATGCTGCATGAGGTCTGAATCTCACCACCCTTCTTTTTGAGGAGCAGAATTTCCGCCACCAAGGCCTCCGGAGCTTTCCCGCCCCCAAGTTAACGAAAAACGGGTCCGGCGAGGTGTGGGATCAATGAGACCAAGATCCACGTCTCCATCGACAGTTGGCTGGGCAGCTTCCCAGCCGCCTACGTGGCTCGGTCCCTGCGTCCCGATGTCGGTTCCGACGCAGACGAGCCGGCGGCCGGACATGGGTCTTGGACCGGATAGCATCCGGTGGCTCCGGTGGCCGTCCAAAACCCTCGGTCGTTGTAGGTGTCTTTGTTGGTGGGAAGAGGAACGAAGCTCTTTCTCATGGTTCTCATTCGTATCCGGCTAGGATTTTATAGGAATTCATCACACTTCACGGATATCCTCGTCTTGTTTGGTGAGCATTTCAACGGAATCATTCTAATGAAGCAAACAGAGTGGCCTCTGGTTCACAACAATATAAAAGCAGGTGAACAAAGACTGCGGACTCGTTCACTGCTCTGCCGCCGAGTCAGTTCACCCCAAAACCACAGCGTTGTGATGCTGGGACTTGTAGGGTCGGAAGACCCTTTTTGTTTTCATTTAGTGGAATCTGAAGGAAAACAAGGATGACATTGGAAGGAAAAGCCTCCAGCTCTCGAGCCACTTGCTCGGCCACCAGACGGTCACAGAATACATGGTTTTGCCAAATCCAGGCCATGTCATTCTAGGCCCTAGGCCAGAAACTAGTACCTCTGGCATCGCTACTAGGAGCAAGAACGCTACTAGTAGCTAAGGCAAAAAACTACTAGTTGAGATCTGCCAACATCGAGAAAATTGGGAGTTTTGGTGGACATCATGAGGTGGAAGTGCATTCCTCATTGCAGATGCCCAGTTTTTGTTGGGTCCCAATCCTTACTAGCCCATGCTAGGGTGAATCTCCAAGCAACAAGGCATTTTCAGCGCACTCACTGGAGAACTCTGAACTTTGTTGACAGCAGGCGAGCTAGCGGCTAGCACCCTATTCCACTTCCGGGTGCTTTTCCAATGTTCTTAAGGCTAGCAGCTAGGACTACACAACGCTTTGGAGCTCGGCCTTTCCCAGGCTAGACCCCTGTGGCCCATGGCCCCGACTGCTGGGACCCTTTCAGATCCCCAAAAGGTCTGTCGCCAAACCAGAAACGACAGGAGGCAATGAAGAGCAGCTTCCCGGAGATTGCTCCCGTCGATTTGGGGCCCATTGGCTACGAGGGCCTCTTGGGCGGAACGCTCAGCGACGGAGGCGGAGGCGGCGGAACGCTCCTCGAAACCCGGGAAGGCGTCCCCCGCCGCCGCCGACGAAGTGGCAGGAACCGATCCCCAGATTCACAGGTGAGTTTGGAGAATGACGATATTTGGATAGAATCCAAGGATATCAGAGGGCTTTGATCACAGGTTAGGTGACCTCACCACCACCATCATCATCATCATCATCATTATCATCATCATCATCATCATCATCATCACAATGAATTGATGATGTTTTTGTTATTTTATATTTTTACTTTTCCCATTTTCCGAATCCCAGCTGTTCAGCCGAGGTGAAGAGTCCATCTATGCCACTGGGATGAATGTTTTTGTGGGGTATTTTTTCTTCGTCGTTCTCGAAGATCTCCGGATGAGGAAGAAAGCGCTCACGGGAGTGGAAGGTGGCGATGCCGGCGATGTGAGTGGCGTGGGCGATGTGATCGACAGGACTTGACCCAGCACTTGTTGGTGATCCGCCATGTGGGAAAGATGAACATTTGTGGGACTTTGAAAGCAACCGTCATGTGTTAGAAGTTTTTGGTCCTGCAAATCAACCCGTGCCTTGACAATTCTTGTGTAGCTAAGTTCGCTGCTTTCCAGCTCATGGCTCAGGTCAGCCAAACAGTGTTGAACGCAGCTTATGAGCATTCCGGGATTGCACTGGAATACTACAAGAGCTACAACGTATCACACAACAATGTGTAGCTGGGCGGCATGGTCTTTGGCACATTTGGCACTGTCTGTGAGGGCTCTCGATCTGATTGGCCAGCTTGTCTATGGAAAGAGACACCCAACCTAGTCCTTGGGCTGTTGGGCATTCTCATCATTTGGCCCTGTCAAGGAGTTGTTGCTTGGTTCTCAGAAAGAGCTTGGGCGCCAAGTGCCTCCGCTTGACGTTTCCACCTGACGTCGACAAGTACTCAGGAAGCAATACTTTGATTCCTTGGGCGATGTATCGAAGAATGAGCTGAAGCTGTGCAACACCACCGACTTCAACAATCCACAGAGGACTGCGTTCCCGGGCCTCCGTCCGGTGGTGACTGAAAGGATTTGGTGAAAGAGGTCATACCAACGGTCCGTGATCACTCTGAGGATGTGCAACAGTTGATGCTTCACCCCTCTGAACCAGGAAAGCTGCTCTCTGAGAACTCTATTGAAGACGTTACGCTGTTGTTGAAGAACTGATGTTGGCAGGTACTGGTAGCATGCTTTCATCGCATGTGGTCATCGCTACTTTTCATTTGTTGGGCTCCAGAGCTCAGATATGGGCTCGTTCCACATCTAGACCGTAGGGATTGACCCTTCGCGAACCCACCCGCAAACCACCGAAACCCCAAAAGACACAGATCGGCGGGGTCTCTCTGGTCGTGACGGGTGTTCCAGTTCCTCGGTGTCAGTTTCTGCAGTTGTGACTCGGGACTGCCAAGAGGATTGGGAACTATCTCCTCTATACAGGTGACTATGATGGAGTCGAAGTGCAGCCGGATGCTTGGCGCATGAGAGGCGTTCTGCTTCAGCGTTCGGCGTGCGAAGCGCCTCTTGTACACACCGGTGGTCTGTGGCCGATGGAAAAAGAAGCCAGGTGGATGAATCGACGGCGTCAGCTTTTGCTCACTCCCATCGAAGGCTTTGGCTCCAGTGGTCCGATCTTCCGGTCAGGGAGTCCCCCAAGTCCGGGTCCGGCGAAAGCCCGCAGAAGTCGCAGAGGTCTCTTTTTTCGGGCGCTGTTGTCTTTGGTTTCTGTTGGGAGACCCAAGTCGGCGTCATTTTTTCGATCTTTTGTGGTGCGTGCTTTTGAAGCATTTAGCTGCTTAGCTGCTTCGCTGCTTAGCTGGGTTGAAAAAAGGCAGCAGGTTTTGCCAGCAAGTAACCAGACTGAGTAGTGTGACATGCTTAGCGGCTTAGCCTCAACTAATTTAAACATTGTGTCACATCCCTTCTCTGATATTTTTTTGATTGAGGATGTTTCGAAGACTGACGCCACAGCACCTCATTGAGACAGGTGGCATTTCGCACAGGTTTTTGGCCTGTTAGGCAAGATTGTGGAAAGTGGTTTCCTTCATGCTGTGGGTAACTAGGCTGCCACAGATTCTTCTTACACCTTCATTCCATTTGCCAAAGCTCAAGGATGGCAGCTACTTTGCCAAGTGCTTTGATGGCTACTGGTGGGCTGCGCCCGCCTGCCGACAGAACACCACAGAATGCTTGCCAGTGATCTCAGCCGGAAACGGCTGGAGGTTGCAAGCGATCATGCCTCTTGGAGCAAGATTCGTTGGACATCAGACAATCTGGATGTGGACATAACTTCTAACACCGGCCATAAGACGCCGGGAATGGTCGACTCAGTGCATCACAAGCTCTGATAATGCAAAAACTCCTGCTTCCCGTGCAGGACTCGCACCACGCAGGACTTCTCACGAAGCACCACGGGTAGCAGGACTCGAACCCATCCAAGGCATTGGGTCTCCGTGTACGGCTTTCCGGCAGCTGTGGGGATCTCAGATCAATGGAGCGATTTTGCACCCTGGCGCCGGACCAAACGACCAACGCGGTGGGATGGGTCGGGACCGAGTCACAGTGGAGGGCTTTGGGGCGGATTTGGGGCGGGTCTTTTGGGCGGATGTGGGTGTTAGGACACCATGGAGCGCCAATGATGTGTTTTTCTCAGAAGTGCATGGGGCCGTCTGCGGGGGAGTGCATGGGTCAGCTGGTCAGCTGGTCAGGAGGTCAGATACGCATCACGAGCTGGCCGTCTGGGGACTCATGTCGTGGACTTTTGAACATGGAAGCGGTTTTCAACAGGTTTGAGAGTCAGAGTCGCATCTTGGGCCCGGGAAACTGCCGAATAGAAAAGGCTCAGAACTTGGTTCTTCAAAGTGACCTTTTGATTGAGGTCACTTAAGCCTCCCAAGGGTCACTTAGGAACCTTCGAAAGGTCACTTCGAAGAAGCTGGAAGAGGAACATGTTTCTTTTTTTAAAAGAAATATATTTCTTTTTTGTTTTAAACTTTTTGTCCACTCGTCATGGAACTTTGTAAGAGCAGTGACCTGGTGAGGTGAAGCATGTGGAGAACACCCGTGCCTTGCACTATTGGTGGGTTCCGGACTCCACCTTCATTGCTCCTTGGGTTGTTCAGAACAATGAAGGGTTCCGGAGCTGAGACGGGGCGAGACGGGGTGTTGCTCGGTGCGTTCCGGTGCGTTCTGAAGAGAAGGGGTGGGTGTGTAGCTCAAGACGAGACCGACATCCGGTGTTCCGACCGCCCCGGGGGGGGTCAGGTTCGGGAAATAGACCGGTCTACCCAGGCAGGGGGAGAGAAATTGGGTCTCCCTATTCAAATAAACACACAGATGGTGAGCTGAAAGATGTTCCAAGAGTGAAGCCAGCTGCCAGGGCTGCCAGCTGCTCATGTCCCACTCGAAGATACCTGACGAGGTGTTTGAAGACACCTTTCAAGCTCGTGGTTGTGTACCCATAGCATCCCATAGCTACTGATAGATGACCCCTGCAATTGGGCCCAAGATCGTTTTTTTTTTTCCTATTTTGTAGTTCTCTGCCAGTTCGCCGTATAGTTTTTCATGCTTGACTCATGGGTCTCCCAGATCTAGAAACTTCTGCGATGAAACTGAGGAGATGCAGCCCCATCAGCTGACCTTTCCTCGCCACAGCCGCTCCGAATGGCTGCGGGGAGACAAGAAGTCGGGCGCTGCAGGCAAGGAGCGTCCCTGCTCAGAGTGTGGTTGGAGCCTCTTCCGGTGCCCTGCTTCTGGACAGGCATGGCCAATCTATTGTGTCTTTTGGGCAGTGGCCACTATAAGTTATAAGAAAACTTTGGAGACTCATGCAAGATTGGGACACCAATTGAACCCTTGAGATCTTGGATGCGGAGACTTAATTGTGTTGAACCCTGGAGCGGAAATCCTCTCCTTCGCTCGGCACAGGGTCGGGACGGTGCTCTTCGTCAGGCACCTACATCGCCAACATGGTGAGCAGTAATTTGGTCTCCAAGGCTTCCAAGGTCTCCGAGTTCGTGGGCAACATCAACTTTGAGCGCCTTAGTTCGTCGGGGAGAAGGACGAAGGTTTGGTGTTCGTACCTTCCGGTGTGAAGGGCGACTAGTTTGGTCGAGTGGTTGGGTGGAGCGATGGCGGAAGTGGGCTCTGGTTTGGGGATCTTTCTTGGTGGCTTTTTGGGGGTGATTGAAGGTGATTGAGGCGGAGAAGTAGTTTGCTGGATGATATTTTGGTTGGTGTGGCGACTTGAGATTTGAGATGTTCAGAGAGCAATCCTGTGCTTGGCTTGGGCTGAAGCCTGCACCGAAGCAAAGGATCCTACAGAACTCACACCCAGCACCCATGGTCTGGCCCGGTTCAGGAAAGCAAGGGTCTGAGGGCTTCAGGAGGCTTTTCAGAATCGTTAGAGACATGGCTCTCAGATGGACCATCAATCTCAAGCTAGACATAGCTTGTCACCATGTCCACCAAAAGTCTCGTTGTTGGGTTATCCGAGATGTTTAGGAGTCCTCAGCCCCAGCTCGAAAACACCCGTCCAAGCCTCTGGGGCCTCCCTTCCAGTTTCTTGCGCGTTGGCCAGACTCAGGCGCTGGGTTTGGTCGTCTACACTGAAACTCACTCTTCTTTCCACGGGAAGTGGATGGCATGCTCCCGAAAGGAAAGACCACATTTCAAGAACAGAAGTGGAGTTCCCTCCACTTGCACCATGTGGATGCGTTCGATTGGAGTGTACCTGTTTCATCCCTTTTTCGGAAACCAGGCTGCGCTAGCCGGACGGGGCCGTTGACCAGGCGGCCAGGCTGAAGGGGGCCTCCACTTGCACCGAGGCTCCAGGAGGTTCAAGATTTGCTCTTGGAGAGTCTGGGACGCAACGGGAGAGTCTGGGACCATCGGGGAGAGGTTCCTTCCCTGTTTTTAACCCGCAGGGGCCGTGTTTGGCGCGCGGAAAGAACATGGCGAAGCTGAACCAGAGCTTTGAGATTTCGGGTTGGGTGGTTAGGCCGGAGAGTCCTTTTCTGTTTTGTTTCTTGATGGATTTCAGCTGTGTTTTTTTTGAACCGGCCAGTGCTGGTTGCGAAGACATGGATAAGATCCGAACGTTGTTGGCTTTCACCCGACCTGTTTGGGGCTTCCTCATGCAAGTCGAGCAGCGGTCAATTGTGGGTATATAGTGCTTCTAAGTTGGGCTCAATCTGAACTCTTGCACCGCTCGGTTGGCCCATGAAAGATTTACCTCAAGATTCAAGCAGCAACCTCCTTGCCCACAAAACAGTATGATGACAAAGAAGACCTTGGAAGCATTTGGAAGCGAGTCTTCCCAGTGAGGGAACGCGGGGGTGACCATGGGGGTACGTAGGTCATATTCAAGGATCGAACTCACCGGAGCCATGACCCACAGCCATATTTGGGCCGATTGGAATATTGACATCTCACTATAGAGAGACATCCCACTATTGAGATAAGTGGATATTCCATCTCTCGTGTAATATTTTTATACCGACATCCCACATAGAAAATCCATCATTGACTGCTGAGATCTTCACATCTGTCAACGGCCCAGGTTTCGTCGCACGGGCAACAAGTTCGAGGTCGCATGCCGATGGATCAACCAGCTACAAGAGCGTGGCCGGGCAAGCCAGCTTCGACCGAAACGGATGGTGGGTGAAACCGAAAGCTTGGGCCCTTCCGGTTTTGTTGGAAGGGTGGACGTGTGAAAAAAAAGGCATTGACGGCATTGATGTGCAGGGCAGGAGATCCAAGAACCTTTTGGTGCGGACGTCGAATGTACAGCGGTTCCGCAGCTGACATTTGATGGGTTCGGACGCCCCACAGTTGGAACCTGCTGAGATGAGCAGTCCGAACCTGGTGTCCGACCCGAAGCTTACCCTGAACTGAGAGATCCAAAAGAAGCCATTCTTCTTCCTGAGCACTTATTGGTTCTGAGCCAAAAGCCAGGCTCTTACAGGGTTCCTAACGAAGCCTATCCAGCCTTTCCTCCTTTTGGCGAGTTGATCAAGTGCCGTTTGGGATCCCTTTTGGGACGCTCTTCTGACCGCCAGCGAGGTTGGAAGAGCTGGGTTCCCGTTGAGACCAACTGCATGCCCGGCTTTGGCATGGTAGCTGTGCGACTTGGTCCGTGATCTGCGTGGGGTGGTGCTGGGCCAGTTCCAGCAGCACAGTGCAAAACCCCACCTTCTCGCAAGAAGCGGATACATGGGCAATATGAATACAGATAGTAATATTAAGTAGCTGCTACAGGTTTTGACCCTATTTATTGTAGCACTGTCCTCTCCTGATCTTCTATCAATGACATCTTTTGGCCCACTGGGTCATTGACCATCTCTCGTGTAAATGACATCCTACATAGAAAATCATCATTGACTGCTGAGATCTTCACATCTCTCATGGCCTCCTCCACGTTCGCCCACCACGGCACACGCTCCGCCACCGGTGCCAGGAACGGATCGTTCGTGCAGCGCCGCGACGATGCGGTGTCGTGCTACGTGTGTCCCGCGGGCACCTCCTCCCAAGAGTTTCGGGACGACGACGGCCAGAGCTATCGCTGCGCCGCATGCGAACCCGGAGCACTGGACGGAAGGGGTTTCGTGGAGGGGAAGGAGGCCGATGAATGAGGAATGGAGGGGTTTGTGCTGTCTGGTTGACATGAGGTACTCGTGTTTAGACGAGATCAGACATGACACAGACCCTAAAAGTCGAAAGACAAGATTTTGCTCAGTGAAGGAAAGGAAGTTCTCTTTCAAGCACTCTAAAGCCAATTCTTTCTATAGTCTATAATCTTTGACTCTCAGGCTGGTCGGATATCAACCTCTCCAGTCCGTGGACCACCTTGGCTCCTAAAAAGCCAGGCTTCCCCAGTCAGATCCAACAGGTGGAACAAGATGCACCTGTATTTTCCAGGGAAACTGTGGGAGTCAACATAGACTTGGCGTCCATGGTCCCGAACCCAGAACCACCGGAGAAAAATTTGCGGCCCGCGACGTCGCGGGGCCCGCGACGGGCAGGTGGGAGTGCAGAGCTGAGGGAGCTGGGGGCGAGCTGGGGGGCGAGCCGGGGGGAGCTCTTCAGCTGAGAAGAGAACTACCAACATTTCTAGTGTACTTGATCGGGCGGTTTGTGAAGGGTGAACACCATCTGAATCCATGGACCCCTGCACTTGGCGATAGACCTGGGGAACAAGGCAAGATCCATGGTGCGCAGCAATCCGGAAGACTTGGCACTGAGGCCGTAGCCAGGCAAACACCTACAAAACCCAGTGCGAACCGTGTCCCAGAGGCTACTGAGCTGCAGTTGAGAGATGAGCAACATGGGATGACCAAGGATTTGACAGAAGAAGTCTCCATGCTTTTGGTTGAGAGCTACTTTTGGGACATGTTGTGGTTGATCTTTTATTGCCCGAAGATTTCTTCAGATTACCCATCTGCTGTCCCTCCCTTCACCGGCTGTCGGAACGCAGAACCTGCAAGATCCATTCATATCATAGCATGATCAGTTCACCCAGTTGATCAGCTCCTTCGGATGACTGAAACCCAGACAGAACTGGAGCATCTCCAACGAACTGGGCCCCCAGACGGGCGCTGGTTGGATTTCCCTCCGCCTTTCCGAAGCGCCGGATGTGTTTCACTCACGGTACGACTACTCCTGGACCCCCAAAGGGACCCTGCAGGCCATTCATGGTCGGTCGGTCTAGCGGGAAAGGCTCCGACTGCAGGACTTGCAGGACAAATCCCATCCCATCATATCCCATCCACAACGTGCTGCAGTACATGTGGGGGCACCTGGAGCCCTGGTCCATGTAGCACGATCCATGCTGAAATCCTCTCAACCGCCTGTGTCTGCCTGGCTTTCCGCTTTCTTCTTTTGTTCAGGCACGATGAGCGACGTGTGGGGCAGCACAGGCTGCCAACCCTGCCAGCAAGGCTTCTACCAAGACTCTTTGGCCTCCACCTCCTGCACGCCTTGCGATGCCGGGCGCACGACCAAGATCCTGGGCGCCGTCGGCCAGGAGTATTGCGTGTGCCAGGCCGGAAGTGGAGGTGGCTGGTGGGGGAGGGAAAGGAGCAGAGCTTTCCCCCAAAACTTCAGACCTCTACTAGTGACCTAAAGAGTCAAACTAGACGACGGTTTGTTTGTCGTTTCTGTTTGCGATTCTCTTGCTCAAGAGCAATTGGGGTTCAGAAGCACTGCCTATGGTCTATGGAGTCTATGGCTTAAGACAGAACATCCCCTGGTATGGTGGTGATATCTTGTGCCTCAAGCAACCAGAAAAGGGTGCCCCCCCCAAAGTAATTGCGAACGACGGTCTGCTTTCTAATTCAGCTTCATGTTCGGACAGTCCGACCCGATGTGACGTGGAACGGAACGAGCACTCGACGGCGGGATGGCGCACTCGACCCGCCCGGCCTGAATAGGTGGGATCCATTGAAGTGAACGGTCAATGCATGCCTTGCGGCACGGGCATTGCATGTCCGCTGGGGAGCACTCTGAAGGACAGTGGGTCCATGCTGCTGAAGGGGTTTATCTCAAGTCGATCAATCAGATTAGACTGCCCATAGGGCCATAGGGGATTCAGATCGACCTGTTAGAGGCGCCTTTTCGGGGATTTTTGCACCAACCAAGGATGGATCTTTCACCGCAGGAGCTCGCAACAAACAAAGAGTCGAACCCCGAACTGCCTCACGTGGAGGCTTGGCCGCAGAAACACGGAACTCCTTACACCGGTTGAACTCGTGGCGGTCTCTGGGTGGTCTCCGGTTCCGATGAAGAGAAGAACCGCCCGTTTGTACAGCAAAACTCAGTATGATGGTGTACCCAAGATACCAAGAACTCAACAGACCATCAAGAGACTCTGCTTGACGGACGGTATCCTACTCCCCAACCAGCACGGGAAAGTAATGATCCCTCCTAGACAGAGGCACGTCTTTGTGCACAAAAACAGCCAACGTGCATAGGTGGAAACATTTTTGTTTGAATGTTTTTGACTGGATGATGTCGCAGGGAACATTCCGATGACTTCAGGGGCGAGTGTAAGACGAGCTCATTGAGGAGATGTGCCTTTGACTGGCCTTAACAGCCTTAACATCACTTACCACAATTTGTGTCAATCAGCATCATGAGCACACACTTGAGGCATCAGTTGGTGTTGCCATGCAAGAATGTTGAGAAGGTCGACACCATCAATCATGTGGATGGCGCAGGTCGTGCTATCTACATAAACTATTGCATTGAGTCACAGTCGCCATGCAATGCTTGGTCTATTGAAACCGCTAGCAGAGACGATTTCCGGACACCTTTTATTGTACCCTCCCGCAAATTGAGGACCCTCTTCCCCTGGAAGATTCTTTTCCTTTGCCAACCAGTTATGAGGGCTCATCTGTAAAAACCAAGGTCTTTGGTGCAACTCCCCGTTCGCCGAGGGTTCTCTCCCCCAATGTTAAAACGACGCATGGGAGACCCCGACACCTGGGTTCGAGCTCTTGGAAAAGAACACGACACCTGGGACCAGAAAGGTACCCGGTTGGAGGCCATCGCTAGTAGATTGGAGGCCTGGTTGGAGGCCTTCAGAGAATTCAGCCAAACCGTTCGGCACAGCAAACCGTCCGAAGCACGCGTGGCCCTCGTCGTCGAAGTTAATCACAGCTGCCGCCCGAAGAATGCGAGCAGCTGGCAAAGGGTCCGCCGCGCAATCCATGCTGCAGAAGACCTGGGTGAAATTCCTTAGACTGGGTGCAAGCACACGGCAGTCCTCAGTGTGCAACCAGCAAATCATTTGTTGTGTCGAATCTGCCAAAGGCGATCAATCGTTGTAGCAATGTGTCTCGATACCTTGCTGTTCAAGGGTGACCGAGAAACATGCCAACCAAATCGTTTCTGAAGAAAATTAGTGGGAATCGCGAAATCAACAGGATTAGCAACACAGTTCCACATTAGATGATCCATCGTACCTACTGACAGAAGGGGCACTCCGATTGATGGTAATTTGCTTTCTGACATGCGCTATAAAGTGCCGTCGAGACAAAAGAGCCAAGGAAGGCGGCTTTCACCGCACCATTCGATTCCAACTCCTTTCTTGAACTCTTTAAATCAATCTGAACAAAGTGATCAAACCCAATGTCACCCAGTTTAGCTACTGCTCGGGCGTCTTTGCGTTTCTGTTTTTTGAAATTAAGAAGGCCTGAAGTCTGTGACCCTGCCTAAGAATGTGAAGTTGCGGCCCGAGCGGCTGATTGCAGTTTTCCGACAAATCCAAAGATTGTTCGTTTTGTTTGAAGAAAATTTTCCATTTGATCGGAGGCTTCCAAACCCAAGGTTCACATTCAACGAAACCCAAGTTCTTCATCCCTTAACCGAGTTCTTTTATATTCCAATTGTACAAAGGACGTTGCGATTTCAGAGCACGAGCCATGCGCCTCCATCTGCGCGTAAGAAGGACAGTCGGCAACCAAACAACGGCTCCGTAAAACAAATTTCGGAGGTCACGGGATGCCCCCTTGCCAGTGTGCAAACTTTGAGTCAAAGTGTTGAAGGTGGCATCTGCCACGGAACGGAGAGGATTTAACCCGATCCAACCATAGGCAAAGCTCAAAGCTGACAACCAGGGATTGAAAAGCTCGAAGCTTGAGGGACCATGTAATGGGAGCCGTTGATCAAATGAGCGCACGGCGTCCAGTCGCCTCAATGCGCTCTTGCTCTTTTTGGCTGAGATTTCTTTTCTTAGACACCGAGGTGACACCTAAGATCGTGACCTCATCTTGAACATTTTCAGGAAAACGATCCGAAAACAACTGACGATCCGCACTGCGCACTGCTTTTAGCACGTGTGGCGCTAAGGAGTTCGGCTTCAAGAGCGAGGCGGCGTCGCCGTTGGGCACCTTCCGCTGCCGTGGGTCCGCCTGTCCCGGCGGCGCGCCGGGCAGCTGTGGCTTTGGAAAGAAGTTAGCTCTAGGGATGCGGGAGGGTGAACCCAGGGGGTGGGGGGTGGTGCCAACTCTTTTCTGTGTTTCTAATGATCAAACTTCTTGTCCAGAACTGCTGGTTTACACCTAGTGACCTAGTTACTCAGTGAATCACTCTTGATCAAGGTTCTAATCCCGAGTACCTATTAAAATACGGACCCCTATTAAAAAAAAGTCATGTCGGATCCTCATAAATACGGTTTATATGTGTTTTTAAATTGCCGCCCTTTCAAGCCGCTACTAAACTACCAACATGGCCGATTTTGGAGGGGTTTTTCTTGTTAGGTTCCAAAAACAACCGTAACTGCCCATCTCTGTCCGCCCTGTCTATCCAACATGACACGCCGCGCTTACACCAGCAGGCTTTCCTTCCCCCAATGGCACGGACTCACGCAAACGCACTTGCCACCGAGGTCATGCAACACCGCATGGCACAGCGACATCCCCTTTCGAAAGCTTTAGCTGTTAGTCTACTGAAGAATCACTATTCTAATGAAGGTTTTTGTAGGGGAAAAGGAAGACCCTTCTGGAGGTTTTTTGCATTTTTGATACGAGTTTAATAAAGGATTTTATATAAAATTTTACTGGATTACTTTTTGGTTTTGAAACTCTTTCCAGGTGACCCTGTTTTGGACCCCCCGATTTCAGGGACCCCCTATTTAAAAAAGATGCGACCGAGGTTTCCTTATTAGGGGGGGGGGCGTGTTTTTTAATAGGTGGACTGGATTAGACCGGTGCCTGTGTATTCTCTGGGCACCGGGCCGGGCACCTCCCCAAACACGGACAAGCTAACAGGGCCTCACTTGCGCTTCCAAAGAACAACCCGAAAGACACACTTGAATACCCACACACTGGTTTTTCTTGAAACAGTGATTTTGGTGTGCACCCAATTGGCCGTGGACTCCTGCACCCCTCCGAGCCGAACCTCAGGCTCCGGTGGCCGAGAAGGTTTCACCTGTGGTGAATGCCCCGCCCAGACGTACCTCCTCGAGGATCCCGCAGCGAGAGTTCCCGTCGGTTGCTTTCGGACCTGGTCCACCGTTTTCGGGTCATCGAACTCGGGAGGTGCCGAAAGGTTCCGTGACACACGGATGAAGAGATCGAAAAGAAGAGAACTTCGACACATGGAGCGAACCGAAGCAAACGGCCCGAACGGCTTTTGTTTGGTGGAGGCTCTTCGGCGGATGCGAAATCCGCTCAACTTGTGGTGCCATCCACTCGACACGTCACAAAATCTTTTTTGATCGGTAAGAAAGCGATGTGCACGGACATGAGCCGGGATATGACACAGGATGCACTTTGCGATGGTACGTTCCTGCGTCAATTTACTTTGGTTTTGTACATTTACAATATCCTGCGGTCCATTAGCAGCGTCCGTTCCAGAACTCATTCTGCACCTCAGAACATTTCCTGAGATGTGTTTTGGATGGCATGGCCGTGTTATGATGTACTTGAAAGCCTTCCTTTTCTGATTCCCAAGACTTTTTTGGTAGGAGCAATGCACATCCTGCAACAACTCACTTGCACCGATCTTTGCTGTCGGTGTGATGCTCTTTGTGGTGGGCTGCGTGGTGGCCTATTACGCGTCAAACTCCAAGTGGCTATTGCGACAGATGGGAGGATGTCTTGTACAAGTGATGTTCAGCAAGTGTGTGGAAAGAATTCCAACAGCCGCTGTGGGTCTTGCAATTTTTACCAACATCCCGTCTTTTTCTCCATGCTTGAGATGCCAAAAAGCTCCGCAAGGTACGACATGAGACACCTGTGGAAGGACCCTTGACACTCTTAGGTTTGGCTTTTTGCATCCGATTTCCGACTGCAAATCGAAGGCCCAAATAGGCGAGACATCATTTCTAACTTCCATGCACATCTTCCAAACAAGCATGGACGGTGGTTAGAAGAGTCCTGCTTGTAGAGGAAAGTTGGTTTCTAGGGTCCACTTCCATGTTTGCCAGAGAAGTGCACATTCTTCCGTTCTTCTCATTGAAGCAGATGCACGTCGTTAGCCACTCATCCACGTCCTTCGCCTGCTTCTGGGGATGATTCACCCCCTGGTCGTGGATCCGGTCGGCTAACGAGTGAAGATCTCCGTGGTCACGGTCCTGGCTGAATGTCTTGGACCACCTGGCAGGGTCAGGGTATGTCTTGTGTAGAAACCAGAAGGCTGCCCTCAAGTGGATATCTGTTGGGCTTTCATATGTCGTGCCACGGTTCGATGTCAGGACCTTCCTGGCGTTCGAGAACGACACGACCGTGCCACGTTTACGTCGTTCTCATTCGCCCTTTGATGGGTCAACGGTCCGAGGTACGAACCAAGGGCGACGGTGATCTTTTGCTGCATCGGTGCCATGAGCATCGCGGTGCCTCGACGGAGGTCGAGGTGATGGGGTGAAGATGGGATCCAGAGGCGTGCGACGTGCGAATGGAAGGGAACGGGAGCGAAACAGAAGCGCTCTTCATCCTACCAGTCAGGGACCAAGTGATTTCTGCCGCATCCAGCTCACCAAAAGCCCTGGGTGAACTAACCACCTGAACGCTCACGCTAAAGCTGGAGTTCCAGCTGGGTGGGAGTGGCTGATGTTCCATGACTTTCGCCTCACTGGTTGACTCAGCTCCTCAACTTCGACGGTTTCTGAGGTCGCATTGATGCAGAACATTGGAGTCTTGGGCACCATCCCCCTCCGCTGGCCAGAGTCCACCACGTGCCTGGGCTTCGGAGGCAGTCCGCAAAAGAAGAGAATTCAGAACCAGGAGTCACAGTCGACGGGGTGCTTTTCAGTCCCATCCAGTGGAGGTGACAAGGGCACCACTTCCTCCAAGGTCGGCACTCCGTCGAAGGTGACTGGAAGTGTTCTGCCATTTCTGCAAGTGAAACATGAGGGTCTTCAGGACTTGGGCTATGAACTTCACGACCGCCGAAACTCGACATCGATCCGCGCGAAACACGGGATCTGGTCAAATCGAACAACGCCTCGGACTGGGCCCGCTCCGTCGGTGGTGGGAACGGGATGAAGAAATCCATCGTTTTGGAAAGCCAGTCGGTCGGGATGCTTTACCCAGCCAAACACCCAGCCGCGCCGAGCCTTGAACAGCATGTTCAGGTGGAGCCGAACCGGAACTGGTGTCTCCCGATAGAGTCAAGCCGACGGCAGGGTTGGTTGATGAATCATTAGAGGGGATAGATAGCGAACAACCAATAGGTACGTATATGATACCTGGCATTGATCTGCTCGTTCTTCATCTCTTCCCGTTCGGACCTCAAAGTCCATCCTACTTCGCTTTCGACACCTTCGGGACGAGGGTCAAATGCGTTGGTCCTGCAGAACTGGGATCCAGGGAGGATTGATCCGCACGAGATGGCTTTAGTGGAACATAGGCAGCCTCAGACATGAGTGGCTGACTAGGCATCTGGCACCACCAATGGCTTTGAGAGAAGCTGCCATCAGGCTTGTTCAAAGAGTGTGGCACCATTTGGAGTGCCACCTTTACAAGTCAACCCGAAACCCTACACCCTGGGATTCTTTTTGAAACCAAGATCGGCTTCTTTTCAGGGGCATCCTCAATGTGGGCGCCATCTTCCTCTTGGACCTCGACGGCATCGGGCTGAACTGCCTGGCGGCAGGCGACGGACTGCTCACGTGTTCGTTCACCCGGTGCAGTGGGGGGAGCCCAGCCGAACTCCGGTCCGCAGATGTGCAGTTTTTGTTCTTCCCAGGTCTCTGGCCCTGGTGCTCCCGACAGTGCTCCCTACATGCTTTGGAGACGCTTTTGCAACGACTTTGTTTGGGATGTGGTGGCTGTTGTTTTTCAGATCGGGATGAACACCGCGCAGGCGGTGTGATGAACTGGTGAAGGTGTGTCAGGAGTGCTGTGACTAGGGTGTTCCAGTGGGCGGTGGAGGTTAAGAGGTGAGAGCGGGTGTTGGGGCTGTGTGTCGTACCACTGATGCGGTGGCTGTAGTAGTCGTTTGGGTTGGTGTTGTGGTTGTGCTTGGGGCGCGTGGGCAGCATCCCATGCCGCGGCGAGCAGCAGTGGCATGGGAGCTGACACAGGCAAGTCTCTGTCAAGGGAGAGCTGTCGAACACATGCAAAAGTTGTGACCAACCATCAGTGCTCACATGCAGGCAGGCCCTTGGGCGGGCAGCTCGTTTTCGAAAAGTGAGCGCATGCAGGTCTACTTGTGGCCATTGTGCCTTCGAAGTACATCGGTGCCAAGACAGTAGGAGCCTCAGCCAAGGCAACGCAGCAGTCTTGTGTGAAGCTGGCGGCACCGGTATTCCCATTCAGGAAGCAAGCGATCACATCGAGGTCCGGTCCTGTCTGTCTGTTGTTGTTGTTGTGGTGGTGGTGGTGGTGGCGGTTGTTGTTGTTGTTGTTGTCGTCCTTTTTGTGGTTGTTGGTGTGGTAATTGCCGTGGCCAGAAGGTGCTGGCAGTTGCTTTGACAAGCAACAAAACCCAAGATGCCAATAATGCAGAGCAACTTACGCCGCATAATTCGCACCGTGGGGCAGTCTTAAGCAAACCTGCTGAGGAATTACATCTTTTAGAGCAACAGGGATTGCCAGGGTTGACCTGAGGCTTACCTGTGGTAGGTCGACCGTCCTTGCCCTAGCGGGCCGCCTTCGGCGGTGGGGTCCTGCGGACGGACCAGCAGGGCGCACAACCAAGAAGCACCACCACCACCACCACCACCACCACCACCACCACTTTCACCTGTATGCCTCTGCCGCCTGCTGGGCCCCCCTGCTGGCCCGCTGTTGGGCCTTTACGCCCCTAAAATCACTCATACTTTAGGAGATGTCGGCCAACCGGGCCCATCACCCACTGAGCTTTGGGTCGCACTTAAAACTATTTTTTCCTCCTTGGAAGTGGCGATGCGACCACAAGGTATTACAGGGTGACCAGGGGAAAAAGACCGACCCCATCTTCGTGACATGATGAAGCTAGGTGTCATCACTGCCGCCATGGGCTTTGGTTAGGGTTCGGAAGGACATTGAATGACATGTGGTCAGGTCCATTGAGAGAGTGACGCCTCGACAGAAACAGAGTGACGAATGTGCAGGTCAACTGTCAACCATTTTTGGGTCATTGGAGCCCGATGTTGGAAGAGCTCGTCCGCGCTGGGTCATTGGTCTTAAGTGCTCACTATCGAGTTTTTTGGTTTCTGGGTATTCGATTTCTCAGACGACTCAAGAAAACAGTCAGAACATGCCAACGGAGCCCCTGGAACTCGTGACATGTCCAGGCAGCAGCGGCGGCTACGTGATGACGGTCGTGCTCTTTGCCGTGGCGATTTGTGTGGTGCCGCTGCTCGGGGTGGTGAGCAATTGCATCCCGTGGCTGAAGCGCCGGAAGCTGAATTGGAGACCTGGCGAGAACTCAAAACCGACCGGAGGAAGACTGACACGGAAGGGATCCCAAGTGACACTCGGTGTCCTGTTCTTGTATTGGATGGGTTTGTAGACATGTTATACATGTTTATGTCAAACTGTACTGTATAGGTTTCGGTGAGAGAAGCTCCCCCTTTAGAATGGCGGTTGTTGCCACCCAAATTTCTGATGAATTTGATTAGATTACCTGTTCTTGTCCCTTCTCTCAACTTGAGGCTGTGGCGATTCTGGGCGCTAGGGTTTATAAGGTAGAACGTGGGCGAAACGCTTCCACGGTTTTCACCGGACTCGTCCCTTGAAGCGCCAGAAGTTCTAGCAAGGCTACTGAAGACACCTCATTGGCAATGATCACTCAAGTTCCTGTCCAGTTCCTGGCCAAATGAATCCTTTCCTCCTTGAAAACCTCTGATCGGGGACTCCACAATTGAAGAACTGCAAGCTGCAAACCAGGCTTTTGTTGGAGATGAAGGGGCTACCTGGCACCTTTCTGAATAAAAGAGGTATTCTTTTCCACGATTCACGGATCTTTTCATTGCTGTGCCCAACGGGCACCAAAACACAGTACACTTGATGTTCGGCTGAGATTGCTTTTGGAGTTTGGTGGTTCCCTGAGTCTGGTAGAATATAGGCCAGTTTCCTAGCTTCCTTCGAAGAAAGCGCTGAACACCTTCAATGCGTTCTGAGACCTTTCCGCAGTTCTTGGGTCAGGAATTTGCGATTCTTTTGCGCCGGAGGTGGTTTTGAGGCGGTGAGACGACAAGGTGGAAGCTTGATTCATCAACCCCCCCATATGAGGAGGTTTTGCCATCCATGTCTGGCGGGGTTGGTCAATCAAGATTCTACTTTATCTAGACGATCGAGTCGGATTTGGCAGGGTGCGAGCTTCTGACCTTAGACAAAACGCCCAAAATCATCCAACATCCAAATAGATCCCACAACAAGGTCCTGGCTGTGCTGACGTATGACGTATGATTGCTTGAAACTCGTCCTGGCCGCTCTCAGGAAGAAGCCCAAGGTCTTGAGCATGACGGGGAACTTCATGCTGATGTCCTTCACGACTTTGGCAGCCTGAATTGGATTGCATTGATCTTTCTTGTGGGTGTGTTTACTGGGATGAAACCATATGTTGGTTGTAGCCCATTACCAGTAACAACGAGTAAAATAAGAAATCACTGGAGATGGTTGCAGGCCTGCAACCAGGTCCCCAATCTGCTGGGCCCTGGTTCCATGGGATATACCCAAACCATCCCAAACCATATGTGCTTTCAAAGGCACGCTCTCCCAGTCCGGAAGGCGTTGACCGGACCACGACGGTTTTCTACGGCACCGCGGTCGATGGGCCCAACGTTTTTCGTGATAAGCGGATGAGATGGGCGGCCATTGGGCCTTGTCTATCGGATCATCCCAGGTGGGCGTCTTGGTGTATGGGGAGGGAGAGCCAGGAGCCTCTGGTCTATCTTTCGGACACACTCTTTTTCGCGTACTCGTAGGGATAGGAGATGTTCCGGAGCTGTGAGATGAGGTGCAACCTGAGAGCCCATAGGGTGCAGCTCTAGGCATGCCAACGATTGTGCCGCCAGGCTCTACTACTGTAGTTTCTATTCACTTTGTTAATTTTGCAAGTTTGCCAGTTACCAACCTGGAAGCCAGTAGCTATGCCACTATGCCATAGCTGTACTCCTTGCAACAACACTTCCTCTTAGGAGTAGGATCTGGAGCTTGGCGTGGCTCAGGGGCACAGAAAAGGGGCCCCCCTCGACCCTCCGGACGACTTGAGAGTGCCGGAGATCCCATGTACACCTTGGCCCTTGGTTTCTACCCCATTGCTGAGGCCAGTGTCGGCTTGATCCCTTTCATGTGTGCCTTGGAACGGGAAGGCACGAGTTCGGAACGCGGAAGGCATGGGTTCCATGATTGCACATTCAGGTTGCGTGGGTTTGTTGCGGCCCTGCTTCTTCGACACTTCGACAGAGCACAGCAAAGCAAACTGTGGGAAGCCGCAAGTGCTATGTCAATGTCTATATATGGGTCTGTCTCCAAATGAGGGGGAGAATTCATCAATGTTATTTTTTTCCCCAGATAGCGAGAGCCACTGGGGATGTTTATGGCAATGTGTGCTTCGGAGCCTGCATGCTTGGGGAGCTCGGGTGCCAGTGCTGCTGCACCTTGCCGCTGCAGGGTGCATAAACATGGCGCTTTTGAGATGGTCGACTTCAAACAGGTTATCCTCGTTCATAGAAGACAAGGCAGACAAAACATTTGGAATGCATCTTTTCTCCGTAAAGTAGCAAGAGCCTGGTCTATGGCACAGTCCGCCGGCGAAATCTCTCTGCGATGTGCGCTTTGGAGCTTGGGTGCTGGTGCCATTGCAGGGTGCCGCTGCGGGGTGCCGGCCACATGTTTGTGCCCTGTGCGCTTTGGAGCTAGGGTGCTGGTGCTGATGCAAGGTGCTGCTGCAGGGTTGCTGCCAAATTGAGTTTTGGAGCCTGCGTGTTGGTGTCGCTTCAGGCCGCTGCAGGGTGCTGCTGCCAGATGTTTTTGGCTATCTGGGGTCTATAGTTCATCATGTATTACCACAACATCACATATATATATATATAGATAGATATACATCGTATTACAGATGCAGATACATGAGATTTTGCATAGTTGGTGCGCATCAAAGACCGCTAGGTATCGAAGTTTGACTCGTTGCTTTGGGAAAACCAAAAGAGACGTTCGGGAGATTGTTTTTGAGGACGAGGAAAAAACAAGATGGGTGTATATAGTTTTGTGGGTGCGCCATTCCCCCCCAGCCGGGAGTTTGAAGGTTTCTCATTGTCTTTATTGCTTGGTGGCCGAGGCTATGAACACCCCACTGGCGACTTTTCTGTGCTCAAGCACCCGAACATCCTTTGTGGCAGCGGCGAGCACCAATCAATGCAGGCACAGCCGGTTTCGAACGGTTTCAGGTTTACCGGTGCATCCGTTCTCCGGGGTGTCTGGAGAGTTCCTCCCAGGGTCGCCACCGGTTCCTCCCATCCGCTTTGGCTTCGTTCCCATCGTAACCTCTCCGTCCCCCTCGGTCACGCGACGCCGAGTCCGGCGACCGGGGAGCAGTTTGGGCGTCAATCCACCAGCTTCGTCAGCTCGTGACGGAAGCTTTCTGATATGTTTGTTGACCTGTTGATACAGCTGGTAAGATCGATCTTCACTAGAAAATGGGAATCGAATGGGGAGACCCTCCAACTCCCGGGCCTTTTGAGTTGCTTCATCCTCTGGAGATCTTTGGAGGAGTCAACCCCTGGTTCAAGACGCACACGAAGAGAGTCTTCAGTCAAGCGCAAGATGCAAGCGCCTTTCTCCCCCTGCCAGATGCAAGCCGACTTGTGACCCCTTTTCAATTGTCCCAGTCCAGCTCCGTCGCCATGAGTAGAAGAGCTCGGTCGACGACTTGTAGAGAGAAGGGTGTGGACTTCTGACGACTGACGACTGTTAGCATTTGCCCTACGGCTTAGGACACGACAGAATGATTTTGTTTCTGGAACAACGCCGAAAAAAGACACCGATCTGCGGAGTTGTCATATGTTGGAGCCAGGTCGTGGGTGCTTTGGTCATGACGGTGGCCACCCTCTTCTGTGCCTATTGCTGCTGGGCACTGGGACGGGGTGCCAGTGCGACACCGAAGAAGGTTTTGGCCGGCAGCGCTGGTTTTCGGGGAGGGAGGGAGTCTTTCCCAGCAGAGTTGCAGTTGGCAGTTGGCACTTAAGTTGATTCCTTAGGCTTCTGGGGCGCCTTGGTTGCTCCAACATATTCCGGAAGAGACCGGCTGATGACCTTCTACTTTCTCATCAATCGCTTCAGGCTGGGCACGAGTGTCGGGACAGGGTTATGCGCTTTGGATTTTTTCAGTGCCACATGCACAAGCTGGAGGTTTGTCCATGCGAACATCTCCAATCTTCAGACTGGAGATGGTGAACGAATGGCTTATGTTGTGTTCGACAAAGAGCAGGTAGAGCCACAGTCTTGCAGGTTTTGCCTTTCACTGGAAACACCATACGTGGGTCGTCATTTCAGCACAAGGCATCGGTGTGTGGCTCCCAAGTAGAGGCAAGTGTATGTACTTGTGGGTAAAACAAACAGTGAACCTGTATGGAGGGATGGACCACGCGGAAAGCCTCCCACTAGGTTGCGGTGAAAACCCACTCAAACGTGCGAAGAAACTGCCGTTATTTTTTTGGTAATGTGGAAGCCAACATTTTTCTAAGCACTTGACACTAGCCCGAAGGTTCCCTGCCTGTTGTTTGAACTTTCGTGTGGCAAGAGGTTAAGTTCTTTCTGCATCAGAGCTAAAGTCAAATGTTTCAAGACACTCTTTCCACGCGCGAAACAACAAGAGAGTCAGGCAACAATTTTTGCGCATGACAACTCAGGTAATTCCTCAGTCTTTGGGGTAGCTGTGCATTTTCAGGGGATAGCTGTGCATTTTCAGGGGATGACGAACATGGTGTGAAAGAAGGTCCATGCATACCTGCTGACCGTTGTTTGTGTACCTCGTACGGCGCGCATTTTCTGTGCATTGCCTCAACCAAGTGTAACGGGAATTGTTTGCTGCAAGCGCTGAGCCAATTCCTTCGATTGACACCCCGGTCATCACACGCCGCTTCAGCTGATTCTTTGGACATTGTTTTCAGGGTTTTTTGAATCGTTTTCCAAATATGCATCGAACGAGTCGAAAAGAGCACTCCAAGAAGCACTGCCGGAGTTAGTTCTGTGCATCGATCTCTTTTCCTGGACTTGTGGCCACAAAACCTTCACCTCGCGCCTGCGCGCACCTCTCAGTGCTTCATTTTCGCTAGCGCTAGCTGCGCGCTGGGCGCGACATGGGCCTTTACTCGTCATGTGGCCAGGCCAGACGTGTGGTGGTTTGGCTTGATGCTTCTGATCCGGTCTGCCTTCGTCACTCGCACGTGCTGAGACGGGGGCGGCGGCGCGGTCGGACACGTCGACGTGTTTCGACCACATTGACGGTCCCGAGACTCTACACCGTCGGAAGGTTCGTTGTTCGGTTCGGGGTTCGTGGTGTTTTTTGGCTTGGAAGGGGTTGTTCTGAAAGGATTCTCTGGTTCCGTGCTGGAAGCATGACGTGGAAGTCGATCTGTTTGAGTCAAGGAAGTCCTGAAACAGAGGCGAAGCATCCGTGTCTTTGAGAGGGCCATTTTGGTTGTTCAATTCACGAAAACCTCCTGGAGGATGCGAAAGAACATGCGCTTAGACACCAAGCGACGTACTGTAAGCACCAAATCCTTGTCTCGCCTGGGGAGACGACATGCCTGACGAGTGCCCCATGTTTCTGATCTTTCGAGTCAGGTCGTGGAACTCCACGGCGCGACAAGACTCAACCTGAAGCTGAACTTTGTCTTTCCAATGCCCCACAAAAGAACCACATCAAACCACCAAGGCTCCAGCCGGAATGTTTGGTTGTGCCTGCCAAACCTCAGTGCCTGCCGTGGCACCACTTCTTTGACGAAACCGAGGTCAGCTTGCCGGCAGTCATTGCTGCCAACGAGCCGGGCTTGCTGGTGATGTTGATGCTCTGCGTGCAGCAGATCTATTTCAGCCTTCTGCTGTGGTTTTTGCCATGGAAAGCTTCATGGATGAAGTGAACCGTTTGATTCTGGAGGATAACCTCGTTGAACACATGGAAGTGGACAGCATAAGTCTTTGGAAGACCATGAAATGAAAGTGCGAATACCAAACAGGCGGTGAGCTCACTCCCTCCACTTCCATATGGGACGTGTTCGTCGGAGGATTCGGAGGATCCTTTTTCGTGGGCCAGAAGGAGGGATTTGTGCCGATGTCAGGTGAAGAAATCACAGATGCACAGCTTCACTGGGTCGTTGGTGGTTACGAAGTACAGTGTATTCCCTCTTCTGCAAAGCATCGGAACGCCTTCAGACGTCAGATGCAACACCTCTGGGGAGCGTCCATGCCGTCCATGAAGAACTTGTAGCTTGCTTGCGCAAGCCACCCACACGGTCTCGGGTGAAGCCGCCATCGACGCAGATCTGCAGAAATCTACGCGGGTTCACTGCACCGGAATGAAAGGGCTAATGGCCCTGGGCCCTTGTAGAAAAGGATCTGAGAATGAAAGGGCACTGTCAGTCAGAAACCGAATTCCAAACCACCAGCCTAAGACACGCATCTGGCAACTGCAGTGGGCCAGTCTTAGACTGAGGCTCCGGTGCTGAACTTGGCGGATGGCTTCATCAGTGGCCTGCTGGTGGTCTTGTTGGCCTCCTGCCTTGAGGAGCGGCGTTGCTCGTTGCGTCTTTTGCGTGCGGTTTGGGTGCCTGAACTTGGCGTTGTTGCGTGCCGAGTCCGCCTGGTGATTCATCGTCGATGCCAGCAGTGCATCAGCATCCTTTTTGGACCCCAAAAAGAGCTTTTCAGTGCTCCAAAACCAGGCAGGCCTCATTTCCACAGGCACTCTTACACAGGGCACACATCCCAGTCGTTGTGCCTTTGATGCCCATCTAGGGATCACGAAAGCGTGAACAAAGATGTATTCCCTAGGACTCCTGGCCCACCTCCGTTTCGAAGATGGGCCAGGGGTGGGTGGATGCCAGGGGGGTCGAATACCACCTTCTCCTCCTGAGGAGATGGGGCGTTCGGAGCCCGGAAGACATCTTTCTTCGGTCGGCACCTCGAGGTGCTTTCATCATTGTTCCCCATGCCCATGGTCATGCACACAGCATCGAATCGGAGCGCACCGTCGAACCGTGCCGGTTCGGTCACGGCGCCAGGACGTGGAACGTGACCCCAGCCTGTCCAGCACCATTCGGACCGTCGTGGCGTTTGGCATCATCGGGTGTCTGCTGCGCCTGGGCGAGCAATTGGTTCAATTCCAAAGCCCTGGGATGGATGGTTGAGTGAGGATTACAAGCATCCAGAGGATGTTCTACCGGGTGAAACTGGCCGTGGCTCGTTGCTTTGTTTGAATGCTGCGTGACTGCTCTCTGAGAAGAGACTACTCTCCGATTCCACGAGCGGTCGGGCCTGAGCGGTCGGCCTCTTTTTCAGGACCAGTGGGGAATAGGATGGAAGAGGTAAATCATGGTACCAGCACCACCCAAGGGGTGGTGATTAGATGAACAATACATCTTCAGGGGGGGTCTATAAACCACCCGAAGTGGGTGGTGCTGGTAGATACTCAGTTTAGACATTGGTTTTTCAGGTCAAGACCTGGCGCCTCCCTTGGTACATCTTCGCCTCTTCGCCCTTTTCACCCGAAACGACCTGTCCTGTCCGTCGACGTCCGACTCTGAGAAAGAGGTACGCAAAAAGATTGAAACTTGAACACACACACACATCATTCTATAAGAAACTGTTAACAAAACTAGAACAGCGAAGGAGATCAAAGAAAAAACAACGAGATCAATTCTCCGATTCATAGTAGGAGATCAATTCAAAAACGACAAAAACATCGGAGACCAGCAAAGTAGAGCCTCAGAGCGGAGGAGGAGCCCGGTGTCGATGCTCAGGCTCCTCTTCTTCGTGTTGGGCGTGCTCTTGCTCATTGACAAGGGCTGTGGCCGTCGCCAACATGTGCCGCGGAAGAAAAGGGCCCGTTTTTTTTTGGGGGGGGGCCTGAGAGACACGCGAAAGCGTCTTCGGATGTGAAAACGGCTTCCGGGTTTTTGGGGTCCACCCTGCACACGCAGATGGACTCGGTGCCCCGAGAATGCATCATCTCCGCGATTCTCCGGCGTTCCGATGGGGCAGAACGTCCTGGTGACGCCGGCGGATGCGCGACCTCCGTTGGGTCGACGGCTGAAGTCCGCCGTTTGGGTCCGAGCCGTCCGAGCCGTCGGGGCCAACCCGATCGATGCGCGACCCATGGAGACCCTTACAAGGTGTTTCCGAGTTGCGTCCGCTGGCTGAAGTTTCGCGTCTGCGGCCCCCGCTGAAATAGATCTTCGTTCGATCCGCCCCTATAGGACTCGGTGGTGCTGCACTTGCAAAGCGTGCCGAAGCCGCGTGAGCTCTTCACGGACTTCCAGAAGATCGCCCGGTGGATGCTTCAGACACTTGGTTTGTCAAGCAAGCTGAGCTGAACAGCTGGCGAAGAACATACGCACATACGCGTGACGTTGCCTTTTTTCAGAACGAAGACGTGTCGATCTGTTCGGTCTGAAGATGTTTTTTCTTCTTGTCGTTTTCCTCTTTTTGCCTCTCTATTTTTTCCTCTCCACCTAGCTGCAAACATGGCAGGCTGAGGATGTGATGGAAATGAACGGGGTGGTTGGTGTCGTTTCTTCGCTCCCCATTTTTTGATCGGTCACTTTCTGCCAAAAGGAGTCCATCTTCGAACTCCGTGGCACTCGGAAGACACCGTCTTTTCGGAACCCGGAAGACCAGGTGTCAATCGCAGCTTGGCTGGCACCCTGGAAGGGCCCTCGAACCCTGCCTCTGGAACCCCTGGAAGCACGGCCTGATCGCAACTTCTGCACTCCAATCCATCCCATTGCGTGTCACACGCCTTAGCTCTTTCACACGCCTTATTGATGATCCCGTCTTTCCGCCTTATCGAACGCGCAGTGGGACCCGAGGCGCTAAGCCGCGAAGCGTCGAAGCCGCATCTGTTCCAGCGAAGCTTAGGAGCAAGTTACAGCCATAGGTTCCAGCCTTCGGAGCGAAGCCAGAGTTCCAGACTTCGGATTGCCGGCCTCGTGACATGCAGAGCCTCACCTAGGATGTCATGCTGATGCGGACCGGACCTGCTGCTTTGTCATGGCGTAATGTGGACATATCATTATGCTGGCATGTTGTCATGCTGACCTGATGTGATGCTGTCAGGCTACAATGCATGGTGCTGGTGCGCGCTGTGTTTTATTCATGTCAACAGTCTAAGATGTTGCCACTCTGTCACGCAAGCTTGAAAGAAGGCTGCCATGTTGACGTGCTGGGCTTAGTGACATGCTGAGGTGTTGTCACGCCATTTGCTGTCATTGTGTCATGCTGGTCTGCTGCATACAATACAGTCGTAGACACGCTAGCATGTTGTCATGCTGGCCCGCTGACATGTTGTTATGCTGGCACAGGTCATGCTAACATGCTGACACGTTGTCATTCTGAGATGATCATACTGTCGTGCTGATCTGCTGGCAAGCTCCAAAGCGGTATCCTGAGCAGGGTGGGAGCTTTCATGCTTGGACAAGTTGTGGTACATGTGTTATGCCGACTCGACATACTGCAGCTTTGTCTGGCACTGACACGACACTTGTTGGAGACCGTGCGATGTTGCCATTGACGGTGGATTCGTGCCCAGCTGTTCTTTCTTTTTCCTTTGTAGGTTTATCGCTTTTCTCGGCTTTCTTCGGGTGCGCCGCAGCTCCCACCGCCCTGAACCCCCAAGGGATGCCGACGAGTGTGCCTTTGAGTCCGTGGTGTCGGAGCTGTCGCGCTACGATGTGTCGCAGATCCAGAGCTCCTTGCACTTGCTCTCCCGCGAGTTTGAGGCATCGCCCGGAATCCACGAGCCTGGTGGTGTTCGTCGTGTTCGTGTTTGGATTAAGGGCCCTTTTTGCGACTGGAGCATAGGCGTTGCGGGGGATCGCGGAAGCCGAGTTTGGTTTTCCGCATGGGAACCCCGAATTGGAGAAAATGACTGCTCGCCCAAGAGAGTTGTGGTCTTCCCCTGGTGAGCGGCAAAGACGGATGTTTTCTGTGGTTAACAGTGGCATGTTGGTTCTAAGGAATCTATGGAGTGGTTGGTTGGTTGCTTGTTTGTTTGGTTGGTTGGTTGGTTGGTTCTCAGTGCTTTGACAAGTCGCATTGGGATCTTTTTGAACATGGGAGATCGTGGCAAACCAAATCCATTTTTGGCGGGTTGACAGTTCCTTCAGCCGGCGGTGGGCACCTTTGCCGAAAGACAGCTGCTTAAAGCGGCTTTGAACAACCTATTAGCGATGGCGATCCGATGGCCTCCTAGTCCTAGCCGCTTTTTCAAACGAATGCGCTTCTGGCACCTGCAAGGACGAGCTGTGTTGAGGATGAATGCCTGAGCCGTTTTCCATTCCTCTAGTTTGTCACGAGGGCTGTGTCACCCGTTTTTCTGTTCCCACGCCTTCTGCGCCTTTCCTGGAAAAGCTTGTCCTTCCTCGGTTCGGATCGTGAGCCTCATTCCGGTCAACCAACGGCTCGGTACTCTTGCAAGTCTGCTTGAGCCAATGTGTGTCACGCACACAAGAGCAGTTGTTTAACAAATTGGGGGTCCTCAAACATGCTGGCCACCAGAAACGGTTACAAAAAGGCCCTCTAACATGCTGATCCCATATGTTTGGGAGCATTTTCTGAGTTTGACATGACAGGCACACCTGCGAAAATATACTGTACTCAGTAGATATAGTTGCATTCCAACCATTCCCAATGCATTTTATCTCGGCACCAGGTCTTTGTCTTGGAACATCTCTCCGCTGCAGATCTCCCCGCTGCACCAGGTGGAGATCGGCCGTGCCAGTCGCATTCGGATCACCAATGCGTCCATCAGCAAGGACCACCGCAGGACCAATGCGAGCGCCCAGGAAGCGCAGGAAGCGAGTGGCTTGAAAAGTGAATAAAAGACGCGGGACGTGAATGGTGGGAAAAGAAGGGGTTGGTTTTTGGTTTTGGGACATGCATAAAAGCCATCAAATCAGGGCGGCATGGGCATGGGCATGGGCATGGGCAAGGTTGGTCCGGTTGGTTTGATCACGCCTTTGCAATAAACTCAACTGGCTGGATGGCCAGCCGGACTGCGAGGAAAAGGACATCGGAAATTCGGACATCGATCAAAACCACGGAGCCCTAGTAGCAATGGCCTCCACCCTACTAGCGATGGCTTCCACCCTGGAGCCATGGAATGAAAGAAAAACAACGCAACATGAACAATATTTGTCTGGGCCATGCGCTGCGCTAGCTCTCCTGGTGAGCTGGAAATGTCTGGCTGTGTTCAAGAGCTAAAAAATGGTGTCCTTTCTGGAACCCGCACAGTCTCATGTTTCATGGTCATATGATATGTTTCCTCTTAAATAATTACAGTTTCGTCGCGTGTTCCAGGTGCAAGTGCGCATGTGCTGCCATTCGGGCGTGCACCGCAGGCCTCCACAGGACACACCGCAGGCCTCCCCAGTTTGCATCTGACCCTTTGGGACACATGCGATCGATTTTCCTCATTCAGATGGGATGCAGATGGATTTTCCCAACCTGCCACCCCCACCGTTTGGATCAGCCCGGGCTGCGCTGCGCGCCCCCCCAGGCAGATCGCTGGCTCCGAAGTTTCTTTTCAACTCACTTGGATGATTGTGTAGGGAGGTGAAATGGCCCTTGCGGCGGTTCCACAACGGCCCGAGGCACAAAAGACTCAGTGATGGAGCCAAAGGAGACCAACCAGGACTCGATGAATGAGTCTTGGCAGTCGTTCGGGTCGGGCCATGCTTGGAGGACATATGAGACACCATGGCATACCACGGCAATCATGTAGACGGTGAGGTTGATTGATTGTATCTTCCCTATATGAAGAGGTTCTACAATCCTACGCGGCTGAACTCAGCGTGATGTATCCAGCGTGATCACAGTGGCACCGCCCAATGGGGCTGAGTGCGGATCTGGAGTGGGATGGGTAGAAGAGGTTCTACAATCCACTTTCTTTTTTTAAATCTATCAAGTCTTACATGATCGGACTTGGTGTCCAGTCTTGACTTGGTGTCCACCAACAGTCCTCGGTTTCCTCGGTTTCTTCGGTTCTTCATCTGCTCCGAGCGAGTGGTGAACCCTCGGTGGCTCAGCTGTTTGGCGCTGCGTGAGGGAGCCGCGTTCAGAGCAGAGCCGCCCGCTATGAGGGAAGGGCCGATTTTTTTCCACGCGGGGCCGATCTTCCCCAGGCTTGGAGGGAAGGGGTGCTTGGAAGGCGTCTTCGGCACCCCAACACGCCCTGGAAGTCTTCAACCGCTCGCTTTCCCGGGGAACAGAAAGGGTACGCCTCGACTTCACGAACGTTTGATGGTGCGTCTCGTCTCTGCTTGGGTGGTCAGACCCCGCTCGTTGGAACGAGGACTCCTAGCGAGTCTTCTTCGTGTAGTCGGAATGCTTAAGGTTACTGGCAAGACTGTCTTCTCGTCTGTCGTGGAGTCGTTTCAGTCGTATAGAGTTCGCTTCAGGCCTGATCGATCGGTGCCTGATCGATCGGTGACCACGGTTGCGCCTGGTGGCGCCGTCCTTCTTTTCGAAAAGACTTCGAACGCCCGGTGCTGGGAGCCACTGAATTCTGAAGCGCTACGGGGGACGTGCGGAAAAGGGTCGTAGGGTCAGATGAGCCAGTGTTGGAGCTCCCGGTCGTGTCGCTTTCGTCGGAACAGAGGCCCAGCTCTGAGAAAAGGCCTGTCACAGTGTTTTCAACGCGGCTATTAGAGTGTATATGGGATATACAGCAGGGTTGGTTGGGCTATCCTGGTTCATGTGTTGATGGTGTGATCCCGAAGGCGCCTGTGTTCCACAGGAAACAAGCACTGACATTCATGGAATCAGGAGGGTTCCAATTCTAGAGCATTTGACCAAGCTGTTGCCTTTTGTGCTGCTGTCTTTAGGATCTCAGATGCCAGAGAGCCAATGATTGGCGCACCAGAGTTGAGTTCTGAGGCGGCTTCTACCATGGATGGGAAAGTATTCTACAATCTTCTCAGCAGACGCTCTAAATTTAGATTTTTTGGCAAATGCTGGCCTGCAGAATGAAGACATGTGCTCAAAGGAAGTCCACACTATCACCATAAGATTTACAATTCCGTCCACCAGGTTGTATACTGTCAGGGATTCTCTTTTTCACGTCAAACATCAAGCTGCGCCGCTTTGGACTGGCTCTTTGGAACATCTCCGGACGGTGTCAGGACTGCAAACGGTTGCCGCCGATGACCGTTTCCGGTTTCGCCCAAGGATCAGCCTACTTCCCCTGCTCTGCCTGATGGGGAGACTGCGAGTGTGCACTCGGATCCTCCCGAAGGGACTGGTCTTGTGTCACTCGAGTGCTGACCCCCAGTAGTGGTAGTGACCGTGGTGATGAAGTGACGTCTTTTCGGGACGAATATGAGAGAATCAGGGGGGCTTTGGAGCTTTCTAAGGAAGGTTGATGGAGTTTGATGGCTCTTTGTTCAAGTGTCTCTTTGGTTGAACTCCAGTTGAGGTAAAGATCCAAGAAATGAACAGAAGAGTTGACTCCTGCCAATATTCATCTTCGTTTCATCCCACTCTGGGGGTCTCTGTCTTGCCGCGGCGAGCGCGCACGTGCGCCCGCGCGCGCGCGTGCCCGCTCGCACGTTGGCACGTTGGCACAGCCGTGCTTGGCTGACCTATTTCCACTGGCGCCTTCGTTCAAGCACGACGGTCGTGAAATATCCTTGTTGTGCTTTTTTTCCCGTGCACATCCTGGAGTAGAAGAGGTGATTCATCCAGATTGCACATCCAAGTCTTTGGTGTTCGCCCATCAGACGGCGTTCTCTGCTGCGATCGTGCGGTTTTGGCGTATTTCTGGGATGGCAGTCTCGTCACATCGACATTTTCGAACAGGATCAAACATGTAAGACACAGTTGTTGCAGGGTCTCTCTCTATTTTTATCCATTTTTCCAAACACACTCATCTGGTTCTCTATTCAATATTCCAGGCTATTCAAGGTATTGTTGAAGAACTGTCAGATCTGGGAGATGGACTAACATGCGCCTGGGCAGTAAAGGGGCAGCTTTTGATTCGGTAGGAGTGAACCTTACAGGTGGCAACCGCTGTGAGTTTTTGCACACTTCCCGCCTTTGGGTTAGCCGGACAGCCGTTCAGACTTTTCATCATATTGACTCTTCCTGGACTCCAGGATGCATATTATTTTGCAGAGTTTCTGTGAATGGAGTCTTTCTGCCAATGGAGTCGAGTGCTGACCTCCAGGAGTGGTAGTGACCATGGTGATGAAGTAACGGACGAATATGAGAGAATCGGCGGGGCTTTGGGAGCTTTTTAGGGAAGGTTGATGGAGTTTGATGGCTCTAGGCTCTTGGGTGCTGGGCAAGAGTTCGAGGATTTATTCTTGAATCGAGGGCAACCCCTACCCCGCAAAATGCGTCCGTACACTCTTCCTTGTGCAGAAAGGTGGTTTGCATGTAACCTTCCTCAGAACTTGGAACAAGTGTGGATATCGAAGGTATCCATGTGGTTTCAGGTAAAAGAATCGCAGGATGAGGGGATTGGATCGTCTCAGTCACAGCTTCCATCTTCATAAGGTCCAAAAGCACCACGGATGCCTGGACCCCGAAACCGACTGGAGGAGTTGTTGAGTCCGCACGGAGCCTTGAAGGATTTCAGAATCGTATGTTCTGCTGGATTTGCATGGTCTCGAAGCTTTTCAAGTTGCTTGCTGTTGGATTCGTCGGTCTATTTTATTTTCTTCCCCAGTCTGCGCCGGTGCTGTTTTCGAATCGGGAAAACGCTGGAGCTTGGTTGAACTCCAGTTGAGGTAAAGATCCAAGAAATGAACAGAAGAGTTGACTCCTGCCAATATTCATCTTCGTTTCATCCCACTCTGGGGGTCTCTGTCTTGCCGCGGCGAGCGCGCACGTGCCCGCTCGCACGTTGGCACGTTGGCACAGCCGTGCTTGGCTGACCTATTTCCACTGGCGCCTTCGTTCAAGCACGACGGTCGTGAAATGTTTCACGACATCCTTGTTGTGCTTTTTTCCCATGCACATCCTGGAGTACAAGAGGTGATTACAGGTGATTCATCCAGATTCCACATCCATTTTGGTTCCCCGTTTTTCGGGAGTGGGTGAGATCAAGGAATAGTGATCCTCGGTTTGCTGAAGGGTCGAGCAAGGTTCGAGAAAACAGGCTCAGACCTAGAAGCCTTATCCGGTCGGACGATTCTCAGGGATGAGTCTTCTTGGCGGTTTTATCCGATTTGCAATCTTTCACACTGGAGAAGGTCTTTGTTCCCGGCTCAAGCAAATCCAAGTCTTTGGTGTTCGCCCATCAGACGGCGTTCTGTGCTGCGATCGTGCGGTTTTGGTGTATTTCTGGGATGGCAGTCTCGTCACATCGACATTTTCGAACAGGATCAAGCATGTAAGACACAGTTGTTGCAGGGTCTCTCTCTATTTTTATCCATTTTCCAAACACACTCATCTGGTTCTCTATTCAATATTCCATGCTATTCAAGGTATTGTTGAAGAACTGTCAGATCTGGGAGATGGACTAACATGCGCCTGGGCAGTAAAGGGGCAGCTTTTGATTCGGTAGGAGTGAACCTTGTGAGTTTTCGCAAACTTCCCGCGTTTGGCATCTCCTTGGACTCCAGGATGCAATTTTTCTAAAGGTTGTCTGTCAATGGAGCGCAGCTCCACACTAGGCTCAGCACCACCGAGTGATGCCTGCATTATTTCTTGAAACAAAAGCTTTTGATTTGTGTAAACAATATATGTCAGCAAAACATATGAGTAGCTTAAAATCATGTCATATTAGGTAAATTAGCAGGTGACAACATGGGACTTATAAAAGCAAGCATGTGTGGTTTGTTTTAAGAAATCATGCTAAAATAATGTTCCTCAATGGCTTGCTTGGACAGCACGCCGCAGCATGCCATACTTGGCCTTCTGAAGGCTTGTGGCCTCCTTCCTTTGTAGACCAACACACACGTACTGCGCATGGCCCGTGGATCTGATTCGTTCGTTCTCGTGGGCGCTGAAGACGTGGAGTCTTCTCACTCCCACCTGTGTGGTCTCCAAACAGGGCTCCTTCAGGGTCCTGGTATGAACTTTTGGTGCGTCTAGCACCCTTTAAAGGAAGACCCGCCCTGACCCGAAGACGAACCAGAACAAAATTGAGCGTTTTCTGTTTTCGCAGTGATATGCTCCTCGGGAAGAGATGACGTCTATTGCTGTGTCCTTTCTTTTTTGGAGTTCAGACCGGGGACGTTTGTTCACCATGTGGGTCAGGGCCCTGCAGAAAACACGCAGAAAACGGATTGGAGGGCCCTGGGATCGTCTCGTTGGAGTGTGAGACGTCCGAAAAGGCCGTGATGCGGGTCGGGTCGGTGGCGGTGGCGAGCCCGCGACGCGACGCGAAGGGGAAGTGCGGTGGGTGGGTCTGGGTTCGCTTCTCCACTAGGAGAAGGAGAGCCTTGCTTGTCCTGAAGTCCACTCCCATTCTCTCAATCCACTGGCAGTCTCATTCACCGTGGGTGTTTTTGGGCTGGCTTGGAGTTCTCATCCAACTCATTCCTAGAGTTCAAGGCCACAGTGGCGATTTGGATCTTTGTATATAGAGTGACTGAAGAACCGGGTGGTGCTCTAGAGTAGTTCGAAAGACTGGGCAGAGGTGGCATCTGCACCGCTTTTCACGGACGTCCGTGCGCTCATAGTTAATGAATGGCCGAACATGATTTGACACTTTATTGAACTCAATATATGTGTTTCTAAGTAAATATGTGTGTACCTTATTACTCTCTCTCTCTCTCTATGTATTGACTTTTAACATGCTTTATTTGGTAAATCATTATAGATTATATATACACAAATCAATACATAATTAGATCCTCTATTTGTAGATCCTCTATTTGTAGCATGACCTGAAGGTTGCTGGTGCCCTTGCTTCCATCAACCTTATCTTGTTGGTCTTTCGAAATTTCGATATCCTTGACCTTCACTGGTTGATTCGATATCTTTTGGCTTGTCCAGAACGCAGCCCCTTTCTAGCAGACTCAAGCTCTCTGTTCGCATGATCTCCAGTTCGATATCATGCCACAGCCACACAGAGAAAGTCCACGACAAGACCCCCACACCGCTGCTCTGGTGGCCTCACCTGCTATGTTTTGTGAGACACCTCTTGGTGACATCACATTGAACGGTAGTGAGACACAGAGCGGCCTTTTTCGGCTTCTTGTTGCGGTCATGAGAGCTATAAGTGTGCTGTTGCTGCAGCTTTGTTCCACCCAGGTTGGGCGAACGAGAAAGGGGGTTTGGCGAGACGATGGGTTTGGGAAGAACATGCAAAGATTCGGGTGGTGAACTGTATCAGGCACGTGATGTTCTTTTCCCTGGTGCTGTTTCGGCGCCAATCGAAGGAGGAATGGACTAATGACTAATGGACTACTACTTCTGTTTTTCACGGTTCAAAGGTGGTTCAGGAGGGCAAACCCACTGAGTGGTAGAGACCAGGGTTTGGCAGCATGGATCTATATGGAGCTCGTGGAGGGCAGGCATTCAAACCTGCAGGCGGGTGCACTTAGTGCCTTTACAGGTCTGGTCCAAGAACACTAGGAAGCCCAGCATACAAACATATGGATGGGATTTTCTTCCAAACATATGTGTATGTTAGCCCATGGTTTTCTTTTGAACACATCTCCAAGCGTGTTGCCCATCATTGCCCATCACGTTCTATGCTCTGAAGCTTTTTCTCTTTTTAACCACGCTCCCGTGGGCGGCGAGGGGGAACCCAAGGCAACCGCTTGGAGAGAGATGGAAGGGCCACGGCCCAAAGGCCACAGCAACGAATTCCACCCCGGGACTAGGTGCCACTGAGGAAGACCCCATCCACTGAGGAAGACCCCATCCAGTGGCAAGATGAAGCGAACCGGTCCAGTGGCCTTTGGTCTTCCCCAAACCGATCCGGGCCCCTCGTGCCTCTGGTCCTCGTGCGACTTGCTCGTTTTTCCCTGCTCCGTCAGGGCCTCTTCTGGCCTGCAACATCTCCTTCGGCAGGGAAGCGTGCCTTTCGGGATCGGTGCCTGGTTGGCAGGGTGGGAGACATCTTTCATGCAAAGCCTAAGTATACCCTTTGAAGCAGGACATGACATGGAAGCATGTCTATGCACCCAGCTGGGTGAAGAAAAGAGGTGAAGAAAAACACATGGACCGTTTACTCGATGTTGGAGCGTTTTTCTGGGACGGACCGAGTGGACCGAAAAAGCTGGTGGTGCCGCGTGGTGGTGCCGCGTGGCGTGCCGCCCCAAAGAGATCCCGATGAATGAGTGTTGGATCGATTGGAGGTTTACCTCACAAGAGAAGAGCCATTCAGTCAAGCAAGCTCAAGTTTTTCATCTTCAGCCGATCAGCTTCAACCTGCAAAGTCTTCAGGACTTCCTTTGGGGATGGATCGATTGGATAGTTTCTTTTCTTGCTTTATTTCGAAAGGATCTATAGTCTATAGTGTTTATCCTGAAAAGCACCAAGCTATTCATCTTCAAGATTCAAGCAAAAGTTGGTCAAAGCTCGGCCGCCTCCTTGGTTTTCACGCAAGCTGGTGCCTCCAGTCCAACTTGGGACTTTTCCTGAAGCAAGAGTCTAGGTTGGTTGTAACTATCAACTACCTAGCCAAGACCCCATCAAAACCCTATCTAGTTTGGGTTCCTCGGACGGACATAGCAGGTCTCCGGCAAGTCTCCGGCATGGAGCTTGAAGTTCGGAGAAGCAGTTGTACAACAGGGTGCGGGTAGAGGACTCAACGAACACCAGTGCCTTTTCACAAAGGTCCGAGCTGCGTGCCGCGGTCTTGCAGTGGGAGTCGCCCGAAGGCCGCGAGCAGCTGCGGGCCGATGCGGGACCTATCTCGACCTGGGAGGTGTCGGCTGTCACGAACATGAGCGGCTTGTTCCAGGAGATGGGTCTCCCTGAAGGTAGCGACGTTCGTTTGCAGGTTCGGGTGGTTCGAGAACTTTTTCGACATGATTCGAAGCAGGAGACTGGCTGGACTGGACTGAGACCAAGATTTCCGTGAGGTGGAAGGTGGAGAGTTCTGTTTCTCATCCAATTTTCAGGTGATTTCAAGTTGCTTTTGGTGGTGAATCTCCAATCTGTCCACGTCTCTTCTTCCCCCCCCCGCGCTTTCCTCACTGCAAACGATCTGCGGCTGCGAGGAGTTGAAAGGCTTTAACGATCCTTGGTGGGGCGCTTCCGGGATGGGCTTCACCCGGGGGTACGAAGATGATTTCGACGCATCACGGCCCTGTCAACTCGACGAATCAATCGACTGGGCCGGTCTGAACATCGCCAGCGTAGTACCGGACGGGAGGTTGGAGATCCACCCAGGCTCGAAACCTTTGTTCCGCCCCAGACGGGTCGGAACTGGAGGCGAAGGTGTTTCGGCGTTTTGCCACAAAGCTAGGTTTGGGGTTGCAATTTTCATGTGCTCCCGAGCTAGGCAGAAGAAGCTTTTCTACAGACCAGCAGGTTTGGTTTCGACACAAGCCAGGGAAGGTGCATGGAATCCGTGGGTGACAACCAATCGGACACTCTGCTGCTGATTCCGATTGGAATCGACATCTTCCTTTCAGGTGAATGGGCTTGCATAGGGGTACCTAGATGAGTTGACTATGGGTGCTGCGGAGAAAAGACTTATGGGCGTTCTTTCGCGCCCAAGACTTGTTTGATTGTAGTCCAAAGGCTGGATGGCACCACCTCTTTGTAGAGGATTTCATGGTCATTTGTTCGGGGCCATGCCATCGACTTTTCTGAATATGTCCGGGAGCGTATTGGTATTTTCGATCTTTACTTGGGATGATAGAACCCACCGGCTTGTACTTTTCGTTTGTGAGTTGAAACCACCAAACGGAAACTCACATTCTTCTAAAGACATCTTCTCCTGGGAGAAAGCTCATATGGGCCATCTCAGGAAGACTTGAGCGCCTGGAACACGAGCTCAGTGGTCGACTTGAGCATGGCCTTCGCAAGGGCTTCGAGCTTCAACTCATCGATCGCTGGCTGGGACACTTCAAAGGTGGTGGATATGAGCTGGATGTTTGCAGGTTTGGATTGGGATGAGGCAAAACACATGTTCAATCAACTTTTGTTGATCCACTGATCAACATTTCACTTTGGAACAGGATTCACATGTGGCCATATGTCATGTTTGAATAAGGCCAAATCCCTCCGCACCTCAGATCTGGAAAGACTCTTGGAGTCTTAGAGCACCCGAACCAGCATTTATCTGCGGTTGAGTAGGTTGGAACTGCTTTGTTGCCACTCCAGGTGCGTCAGCCTTCAACCAGCCCATTGGCGACTGGAACACATCTCGAGTCAAAAGCATGCAAGGGATGTTCTATGGCGCTTGGGCGTTTAATCAGAGTCTATCCAGCTGGAACACTTCCAGGGTTGCTGATCTAAGCTACATGTTTGCCGGTGCTGTATCCTTTGATGCTGCAGTTGGTCGTTGGAATACTTCAGCCGTTACTGACATGAGCTTTCTCTTCAGCTCTGCACGATCTTTCAACCAGCAAATTGGAGCCTGGAATACTTCATCCGTCACCAACATGGCTGCATTGTTCCATGATGCCCAGCTCTTCAACCAACCGGTTGGTTTATGGAATACTTCCAAGGTGCTCAACATGAGTATGATGTTCAAGTGGGCTGGTATTTTCAATCAGCCCATTTCCGGATGGGATACCTCCAGTGTCATTGACATGACATTCATGTTCAACTACGCACAGCACTTCAACCAACAGATTGGCACCTGGGATACCTCCAAAGTCACCGACATGAGATCGATGTTCAGCAGTGCGCGGCACTTCAACCAGCAGATTGGCAACTGGGATACCTCCAGGGTACGTACCATGAGGCCTGTGGAAGGGATTCGGCATGCGGTTCAGCCTGAACAGTAGATGCTGTGTTGGGCACTTGCAAGTGGTAAACTGGCTGAAAAGGACGCCTTTATTGTTCATATTTCATTGAAACTGGTGGCTTTGGCTTGAAGAGGGGGAATCGGTCAAACCAGCAGAGAGCTGCAGACAAAGGTGCCCTAATTAGCCATCTATATACTTCCAAGGGGCTGGGCTGAGTCCAACAGTGTCGGAAGAAGTCAGATATTTTTGGCCTCTTCAGTTTTGGTGGTGGCGGTGGGGGTTGGCAGCGAAGCGAGGAAGATGTTCTACGATGCAGATGCCTTTTCGCAGCCGTTGGGGAAGTGGAACACTACAGCTGTGACTGATATGAGCCTTCGCTGCACTTGGTCCGGTCTCTGATCATTGTTTGGAGTCAGGGCTTAGAAGCGGACACCTTCTTTTTTGAGCGTTTTTTCTTGTGTTGAACGAACCAGAACCTCCAGTGGGCTAAACATCCGCTTGCAAATTCTGCAAGCCCTGCACGCTTGCGTCTTCAAGGAGCCATATGTTCCAACAAGCCAACAGCTTCAACGAGTCGCTGGCTGGATGGGACACCTCCTCTGTCACCAACATGGCTGTAATGTTCACAGATGCAGAATCCTTCGATCAGCCCATCGGTGGATGGAATACCTCCTCGGTGAGGTACATGTCGTACATGTTCGCAGGCGCGAGGTTCTTCAATCAGCAGATCGAGAGATGGGATACTTCGATGGTGGAGGATATGACCATGATGTTCATTGGAACTTATGCCTTTAACCAGCCGCTACACTGGGATACGTCAAAAGTCTGGACGATGTCCTCGATGTTTAGTTTTACCAGGCCGAGAGCATTCGCTGAGTGTGGATCGAGTAACTAAACTCACGGGTGGGAAAGCATATTGTCGTTGGCCAGCGTGACAGTGACTAAGATAAGATTTGCGAGAGTTCCGTCATGGATATGTAATGGTGTGCATAGTAGATAGGGCTGTGAGTCACAACCAGGGACCCCCTAGTTGAGCCTGAAAATGAACAGATTCCTCTATAAGGGATGTCAACCTACCATTGATTGGAGGGGACGTTTTGTTCATTTCCAGTGGTCAACCAGTCCTCCGGTTTGACCCGTGGAGATTTGAGAGGCTACACAAAAAGCTCCGTTCGTAGCGTCCGATCGCTCCGTTCGTAAGGCCAGTTTCGCCCCGTTCGGTTCCGCGGTCCTTGTCGCTCCGGACTCGAGTCGCGATGCACCTGACCTGCTCCGAACGCCTTTCGCGTCCTCGGTGCCGAGTTGTGATGCGTAGACGTAGAGCTGCTCCGTGCGTTTCGAGATGCTTTTTGCTTTCGCACCAGTCGTGGGCTGGGAATATTCACCATGAGAGCTGGGGCGGTCGGTGTTTTCATGTCACCTTTGTTGCAACAAAAGCAGAGCGATGGCCTTATACTATTGCATGGTGGATTACTAGAGGGATTATCGGATAGCGTGATATACATATATATATATATATGCATATTCGATGGTCCCAAAGTTACTCTCTATGATTCCAAAAAGAGCCTCATTCTTCCCGTAAGCTTTGGCCGCAGAGCTTTTGCATGGTGCAACATCCGGTTGGTGACCGATGCATGGTGATTGGATGTGTCAGGTCCTTCAACCAGCCGATCGAGCATTTAGACACTTCTTCTCTGCAGCAGGCTGACAGCATCTTTGCCTTCGCCAGAAAATTCAATCAGCCTGTGGGCAGTTGCCTCGACTTGCGAATTAGACGGATGCACATTCTTTTCTTCAAAGCAATGGTTTCGGTGCCGTGCGCTTGTCTTGGATTCTTCTACTTATTGACTTCCCAAGATCTCGTCGGGCCCTCAACCCCTTTGTTTTGACACCTGCACAGGCCCCGGGACTAGGGCTCTCCAGCACAGGTGCTTCAGGAAGGGAACCCTATGGTCTGACCTTCCTACTTAAAGACAACAAAACCTTAAAACAGAACAATTTGCTGCGAGACCTCACATGGTCACGCGACGTGACGGAGTGTTACCAGTTTCTCAAGCTGTGACGGGTGCCCGTAAGTGACAGGATTCCCCGGCCGATTCCGAACCATTCAGCTGTTGGCGGGAAAATGGGCTACTTCCCCGGGCCACCATATCTTCCCGTCTCGCTGAGGTTGGGACATCAGCAAAGTGTCGGATCCAGCGGCCGAGCTGAAAGAGTGATGTGGGCATGTCGACTCTTCCCGCAATCACGTCGAAGCAGGTCGACCTCTTCAGAGGGCCAGGAAAGCCTAGAACCGGGCCCAACGGTTCCCTTTTTGATCCGTGGCGGCCGTGGGCCCACGTCGTGGCGGCCCGGGCCCACCAACCGTCACCGATCACTGGCTGATACCATATCTTTTTCGGGGTCTCCAAAGAGTATTAGTGGCACTTGGTTTTCAATACATTTTCGACGTGGGGATTTCGTTTTCTATCTATATGGGGAGAAAAGAGCGCATAGGAGAAATGAGCACACTTTTGTCAACAGGGCGGTCATGGTGGTCATGGCACCTTTCATTGGTTTCTCTAACAGCATGACGAAACGTGCTTCACATGGAAAACCCAAAAGGTCTTGCTTTGAATGTTTCTCTTCCTGAGAGAAAAGGCTCCGCTCGCGGGTCTCCAAGAATGTTTCGGGTGAGTGCACATGTAACTGGGTCAGTTGCCGTAACTGGGTCCCGAAGCACCGACAGCATGTACGCAGTGAAGAGCTCACTTCACGTCCCAACCGAACAAAAAACCCTTTGCACAGGAAGCTGTAGGACACCTCCGGTCCACCACATGGTCTCCGGTTTTCTGGCGCTGGTCCCAACGGTCACGGGTCGCTGCTCGTCACGGGTCGCTGCGAGGCCTCGGTCTTTTGGAATGCCGACAGCATGTCGCGGTGTGTGACATCGGCTACGCGCAGCGCGTGGCATTTGGATCCTGCCGCGTTGGCACCCGCTTCGCCACACGGCTGGTATGCAGGATGCCCAGCATGTGGCAACCGCAGCTGCCACTCGGTCCGGAGGGTCCTATGGATTTTGGGAGGTTCAAAGTCGGACTCTATGGCTTGAAAGGGGCAAGTTTCATCATTCCAAATTCACTTATCGGACTTATCACATAGTCACATACCTATGTTTCACCTTATTCCACAGAGGCTTGGGGGACGCAAGTCGCTGAACAAACCACCCACGAAGACTCGGTACACCGGCCAAACTCCCCCGTCTGAGACCCGTATGAGAACGGTGTTTCATGCCGTCTTGCCAGGCCACCATGCAGATCTGGCTTGTGTGGATGGCTTTTGTGCTCCACTGTCTGCAGGCTATGTCCAACTAGGCTTTGTGACCTGGGTCATCAAGCAAGGCCTCCAAGTGCAGGGCGGGCTCGGTGTGTGCCAGGCAGCATGCGGCAAGCGGAGTGACACCTGGTTGGATCGTGTGTGTGTGTGTGTGTATTTGTGTGTGTGTGTGTGTGAGTGGGGTGGGAGTGACAGGCTTGGATCAGTCCAAGAGAAATCGCATCAGAGAGCTAACTGATCCCAGGAAGTTTGAGATCCTTAGTCATCTCCAGACCTCACCCGATGAGCCATTTCGACCTGCTCAGGAGTGCTTGGGCTTCTTGTTGGGACCAGGCCGTTGTCTTCTCCACTTGGGCCACGGCGATCCTTTCCCACTCCGGTCACAGACAGGCTGGGGAAGGAGGTGTCTTCTGCCGAGCACGTGTGGGATTTTGAGTGATCACGTCAGACGGAGTCAGGCTCTCCACGTTAGACTCATGTCTTCGACGTCGTTCAGGCGGATTTGGATGCTCAGCTGTCGGATTTGGATTCTGGGGCGGGGGTGCGACTTGCAGGGCACTGACTATGGCACCTGTCAGACAGGGCTCGAAATTCAGGTGCTCATTCTTCAAACAACAATCAGAAATGGAGAACGGAGGATCTTTGCTTCGGAACTTCTTGGTCTCTCCCAATCTCTGTGAGTCTTGGAGGAAACTCCACTCCCCCTTCTTCGGCTTGCCCTCCCCCTGAAGCAAAGGACGGGTTCCTTGCACTTGGATGCCCAAAATGGACCTCCAGTGGTCCACGAAAACCTTCCAGGTGCTTGGAGGGCCTTCCTGAAAGCCACCTGCGAGAGCTTCAGCTGCCCCAACAGCGCGGTGAAGGTGATGCCCAGTTTCCCGGGACGGGTGACCGAAGCATCCTGCTGTTCTTGCACTGATCCAGGCAGAGTGCAGGAGAGGGTGTTTGCATTCGGGCTGCGCTGTACATGTTTACACATGAGCTACGACCCACTGAGCTACGAGGATGGACTGGACTTTGAGTGGGATTTTTGTGACCAAAACGACAGTCGGTCTTTTCGACGTTTGTCAACCACTTGAACTGGCCGTCGTTTTGTCGGTGCTCGTGCTCGTGCTCCCTGCTTGCTTGCACCTCGTTTCGCCATCTCTCGCAGTCTGATGCTCCAGGCCTGGAGATGACTCCAGAACTTGTGGGGTCGAGACGGAACAGCAGAGTACATGGCTTTCAGAGTACATGCATCATGGGAACCTAAAAAAGACCTAGAGACTAGAAGGGTGCTAGCGACCATAGCACAGCTTGCGCAACAAGAGCCACAGCTTGCGCTCTTTGAGATGTCAACCTTGCAGAACACCGCCCTTTTTGCGATCGGGGCTAGCGAACCCTGTGCATGCTGACCGGAACCTCACTTTTGCCCTGACTGTTGACCTCAGGAGATGAGTGATGAGCTCCATTTGAAGTGCTTCCCTTGCCCAGATGGCTCCATCCCGGATGAAGCACAATGGAACTGTGTCTCCTGTCCATCTGGCAAAGTGGCACGTTCTGGGATGGCTCGCTGCGAGGTGGCTCGGGTCGAGAGAGGGTCGGCCAATCTTGACAGACCAGTTTGAAGGAAAACAGGTTCAGGTTTTCATGTTCTTTGATTGGTCCACATGTTCAATCCATGTGAAGCTTGGGGAAGAAGAACTCAGTTCAGACTGACTAGCTCAACACGGTTTGGAGTCGCCTATATAGCTACTCCATCTTTTTAGGACCCCAGCTTTTGCTTCACCAACGTCCTTTCTGGAGGGGAGCCATTTGGCGTCTGTTCTTCCTGCGCTGGACACCGGAGGATTGTGGTTTCACCTCAAGGCCATCTTCCACACGAGGCCTGCGGTTTGGACAGGGGGAAGGCCTGTGCAGCTGGTGTGTTCGACCAGCGGAAGCTGTGTGGTTCTAGAACCACCACTCCATTCATTGGAGTGGTGGTACAGAGGAAATTAGGAACAAGAAGCTACTAGGGGCTCCTGGCATCGCTACTAGGAGCAAGGCCGCTACGAACGGGGCTCCTGGCCTTACTACGAACGGAGCATTCTTGCTACTAGGAACAAGAAGCTACTACGGGTGTCCAACTCAAGACACAACTCCATCAATTGCTGTGCGGCTCGGAGTTTTTCACCATCCTTCTACTCTTGCCCCATGTGGGCCCACGCTCGGACATCTCAGGGAGACCTTGGCGACTCATGGCGTGCTGTTGTCATCGCTGTAGGTTCAAATGTGCTTGGATAATCCTTCGTTGGTTCATCACATCAAACAGATTGAAGTTCCAAGAACCTGGTAGCCTGGTAGGGATGGTTCTCGCACGATGGGGTGTGTTGACGGTCAAAAGGACTGGATTTTCGGCTCGGACCAGCTGCCACTCTGTGGGCCCAGTGAAAGGTCGGATGGCAGCTGTAGGTCATACACTCAGCCCATTTCTCTGTAGACTGTTGATTAATCACCCCCCCCAACCTGGAATGAAGAGGTTTTGCAATCCTGGACAAGGGGTGCTTTTTTGAATCAAGAGTCTACATTACCGGAATGCTCTAATACGTAGACGCTCATGGAAATCACTTCATCCTTTCCTGACCTCGCCTCTTCGTCCTGCTGAGTGTTGGGGCAGGTTCCACCTCATCCACGTCCGAAGGGGCAATGGGAATTCTTGCTGCAGGTATTTGCAAAGAGTCCCGGATTACGATGTTTGGCCTCTTCCACAAGTTGGCACCGTTTGACATGAAAAGACCTGTTATAAACTATACAATGTAGATCCTTTCAAGCACCAGATGATGACTGTAAGACCTGACGCGAGCCAACCATCAAGATGGGGGAGATGGAAGACCTCTAACATGAAGGTCTAAAAGATTTCACTTCCTAGCTGTCTCGCATGGGGGTCCAAGATCCTTTCATTGGTCTTCGAGACAGGCCGTGGCATGCCAACCCCAGAAGAGGATATTTACCTTCATCAGGGTGCCAACAACATCGAGGGTTTTTGGATCTGGCAGGGAGGCCATGTTTCTTCAGAGAATCGCGTGGTGCTTTGATTCAGTCCCTGTCCCTGAAGGCAGTTGCATGCCTTGTGACCATGGCCAGTACCGCCTACCGCAGTGGGACGTTTGCCAAGACTGCCACTGGCCAAGACTGTTGATGGGCCAGAACTGTGTTTGGCAGCACTTGCCCCTGATTCCGATTGGAGCTATTGCGCTGGTGCTGTTGCTGTGCTTGATCTGGGATCGGGCACGGAGGTGTAGGGATGGTGAGAACCAGCGACGAAATGAATCGAAGACGACCACCATAAAGAAGCTGGAGGAAGAGCTCTGGGATGAAACGCCTGGGACCACCCTCACT